TTTACAACTTTTCTTTAATCGACCTTTGAGTATTAAATTTAAACATAACCATTTAATTGGGAATAAGGTCACTTATTAATTATTTAATTAACTACTTAATGTTCATTTCTTCTATTTTTATTGACGTTTCGATCCCGGTATTTTTCTTTTTATAAGTTAACGATGGGATCCTCTTCAAAGTTTTAAAATTAGAGCTTTAATCAGGACAGGGACACACCGACAGTCTCAGCACCGTCCACTAGCACATATATTAAGCTACTGTATGTTTATATTTATATATATATATATATATATATATATATATATATATATATATATATATATATAATTTAATTATTCTTTATGCTATTAAAATATTATGAAGCGATGAACGACAAGTCTGCAGGATTGAAAAACTTTGAAATAAATAAAAACAGATAAGAGAATTTAGGACAGATTATTCAAATATGTTAGAAGCAAAGAAAAAGAAAAGACAGACAGCGAGTCCCAGAAAATTGAGATGAGATTAAATAAAAGAACTAGAAACAAAAACAAAGATTTTATCAGAAACTAAAAAAGAATCTTTTGCTATCAATGAATGATTAAAATCACCCTAAAAAAAATTTATGTATATATATATATATACATGTATATATATATATATATATATTCGCCGTGCAATTTCTACGCTCAAACTATTCCATCACTTCCGCCATCTTCTACCCCAAAATACCCGTAGACTCCTAGTTTCCTCTCTCATCTTTCCCCACTTTGACTACAGCTGTGTGGTGTACGATGGCCTCTCGGTGGAACTGCGTGATAGACTCAAAAGACTTATGAATTGCTTCGTAAGATTTGTAATTGGAACCCCGAGACGCTCCCGTGTCTCCCACCACTACACTGAGTTAGGGTGGCTCTTCCCCTCCTTAAGAAGACATTATTTCCTTGGCACTTTCCTTTATCAAATCATTACCGATCATCGTCCTTCTTATGCCTACAACCTTCTCCAATTTAAGTCCTCAATCCATTCACTCACTACAAGATCCCGACCCTCTGACCTATACATCCCTTCTCATAGATCTGCCTCATTCCAAAATTCCTTTATAGCCCGCTCTGTCAACTTTTGGAATTCCCTCCCGATCAAAATTCGACATGCCCCTTCCCTATATACATTCAAAAACCTCCTATTCCAATTCCTGTTCCAAAAACAGTCTGATACCAGCTAACGATTAATATTATATATGTATTGTGTAGCAATCATATAATCATAACACTTGGTAAGAGATAGTACATGCATTTCCTACTATCGACGTAGGAATTTCAATACATACATTTTTTTTTTTTTTTTTATTCAATTATAAGTAACTGTATATATATTCAAGTAAAGTTTTTTTTTTTTTTGTTTTTTTTTTATGAAATGAACTCATTGTATCTCTTTTTCGTTCTTCATTTCTCAAAATGTATGTTTATTTGTTCAATCCTTAAATATAATTTTGTTCATAGTTCAAGTGATTCGTTCATTGTTTTAATTGTTTTGTTCATAATTTTAAATGCTCTGTACATAGTTTTATCTGTATTGTATATAGCTTGTGCACCTAAGGTTTTCTTTACTTTTTATTTTATTTTATCAATTTTATTTATTGTTTCAACATTCAGGCCAGTAATATTCTATTATTTTGTACATTATTGTTATTCTGAAGGGACTTTGTCCCAGAATAAAGTTTTTTTTCTATCTATCTATCTATCTATATATATTATTTAAAAAAAGGTAAATAGGGATTTGAAAAATCAAGTGCCTGGAAGTAATAATCACTGACTAACTTAAAAATTTATTTATTTTCTTTAGTTTACTTGAATTATTTGCTATCAAACAATATTTGTGTTTTTTTTTTTTTTAAATCATTCTGTTGTTCTTTGAAGACAAATTTATTAATTTAGTTTCTTATGAAGCAAAATGTGTTTACATTGAGTTTAAAAAAAAAAATTCAAACTGTTATTTTATCTCTTTTCTTATAGCTCCTCTCCCATCCAATTTAATTGCATAGATAATATAAAAGATTAATGATTTGAAAATAGATTGAGATATTAAAAAATCCTGTACAATTACAACCCATGGAGGATCTTGAGTTCATTATTCTGATAGCTGGTTTCAAGGCCAATGGTTGTGTAGGGAGGTGATTGGGCCGAGATCAAGCTCAACTGCCAGATTTTCCCTCCTAATTACTTAATGAATAGTATCCACCTTACAGAGGCCGGGTGTGCCGCAAAAGGATCTCACTATCCCACGGTCTTTATACATACAGAATATATAATTATCTACCATGGCAGGACTTGAAAGCAGGAAATAATAAACATATTACCAACCCGGAAATGTAAGGGATTTTTTTTTTAAATAAATCTTTTACAGCCCACATATCCTGACTTACCATGATAGTAGGTATGGGATTTCATGAACTGTCATGTACCAACTAGGATAAAATCAACCAATTATTGGCACTTGTAACTTAAATTTGATAAAATAAGCACTTAGGTTCATGTAAAATTTTAAATTTGGCACCCTTTCAAAGGCCGATTAAAGTACCTTTGAAAGAGCGCCAAGTTTGAAATCTTAAATGAAACTGAATGCTTATTTTATCAAATTTAATTTATAAGTGTCAGTAATTGGTGCCTTTAACCTATATTAGTTATCAGCTTACACCTTTTTGTATGGGATCTGGGAAAGATTACAATCAACATAAGTCTTTACCAAGCAAATTACAGGACTATAATTTGCCCAATATGAAAAAAAAAAAATTAATTGAAAGTATTGTAACAATTTCAATCCATTTAATGAGTTAATAAAATTCTTTTTGTCATTAAATTTTAGGAGGTTAATATATCAAATTCAGTAAATTATTGGTTTATAATTTATAGATTGCTCAAAGGAAAATCAAGAGCTTACAGTTAAACAGATCTTAGAAAATTATATATATGTGCTAAAGTAGCCTGCAGGTTTATGTCAAAACGGAATCCTTCGTATTATAGAACGGTCTAAGCCTAATATTAAAGAACATAACAAAAATTGAGATAAAAAGATTTTTTTATTTAATTTAATTTGTTTACCCCCAATGGCATTCAAATTTTTTTTTTTTAATTTTGTAAGATATAATTACTGAAATTTATTAGAAAATAAATAAAAAGAATTCATGATTTGAATTCCTTGCCTTCTTTACCTTATAAATTTATAAAGAATTCAAAAACCATAATTTGTAAATTTATTAAAATAATTCTTGCACGCTAGCATGCAAGTGACATAAAATGCCTAAATCTATATTGTTATATGTATTAAAATAAATATATAAAATACAATGTGAAATCTATCACTACAAAATATCAAAATTCTTACCAGCAAACAGTACCATTAATATTTATCAAAAAGTCAATTCTTTAAATGTAGTAATTGTTCTTTCATGGTTTAATGACACAATAATAAATATTATTTGTGATACAAAAAACATAAAGTTTAATGTTAGTAAAAGTCCAATTGTAATATTTCTATTCGAGAAATATTGCATAATATACTCCAATTAAAATTTAATTATTTAATAATAAATTATTTAATATTATCAAAATGAAACAACAAAATTAAACGTCTTATAAATATTTTTATTTTACACTACTGTATTGTTAAAAAAAAATAATTCTCAATAATATCATTCTTGTTATATAAACAAAGAACTTGTCAATATTATATACAAATTTAAAAAAAAATAGTGAGTGAAAACAATAAATAAACTAAATAATTTATTGTAAGTTCTCTCAGACTGATAATTATAATTTCAGATCTATGATTTCCTGGAATTAATGTATAAAAATACTATCTCCTAAAACATAAAATAATATATAAAAGGTAATAAATAGTGTAGAAGCAGATAGCTTTCTACAAACAAAAAACTTACAAAAAATATAAAAAAGTAGAAAAACTTAATAAATAACAAATTGACACTGTTATCAATAGTAAAAATAAAATAAAACTTATTTAAAAGAAATAAAATAATCATGGAGAAGTGTTCTTCTTATAAATGTTAACCTTAATATAACAGGACTTTAATTATTATTTCTAATTATAAGTGGAGGAATGAAAATATTCCTGTATGAATTTAGTAACATGATTAATATAAAGAAACAAAGCTAACAAACAAAACAAAATAAATATGATGCAATTAATATAAACTTTATACATATAATGTTAAAATCAATATATATTTAATCGAAAATACAGACATTTCTCATTCAAAAACATATTAAATTGTTGTAATACTACAACTACAAAAATAATTAATATATATTTAAATTTTAACTGTGTCTTTAGAACTACAAAATGCATAATCCTAAAATCTAAATTACTTCTTATAATTTCAAGCATTAAAAAAAATTTGTACAATCTGATACAAAATTTTATTTCTATAATACATTAAAATGTAAACCAACAAATAATCTTTACATTATTATGTTAACAAATTCAGGGTAAATAACTGACAAAACTGAAAAAAGAAAGATATTTAATTTTTCAATGGAACATCGAATATATTAAGAATATAGAAAATATTGTTTCGTTTTTAATAATAAACACAAAAATTACAAAAACAAAATTAAATTAAATACACTATGATGAGAAAGAAATTCTATGATAAACTACAAAACTTAATAAAAAGTATTTTTTCCAACAATATGAACCTTAAAATATGAAATATGATTTGTTAATTAATAGAGGTGAAACTGTAGGCACTTGATATGCCAGTAAATATGCTATAAACAACGAAGCTCATATCACTGCCATTTAAATTCTATAAATGATAAAGTCTCAATCAGAAAATATTACTATCATCAACACTGAAATTCAAAAATGTATTACTTACGGGTTTCGTTATTATATCTGGATATTAATTAAACAAATTATCCTGCAAAAGAAATGTCTGTATAACAATATAAATAAACCAAACATCTAATATTAAAAAATCCTATTTAATATTTATACCAACCACCCTATTCGGCAGTTCTTTTAATCTGTCAGACACTTCTTCCTTATTTTTATCAACTTGACAACCCGATTTTTCTTGAAGATGCTTTAATCGATTCCAAAGTAATTCAGCTTCCTCGGTGAAGTGTTCCTTTCCTTTTACTTGCTGGGATTCTGAAAAAATTAAAAACATTACAAGAAAAATAACTGACTAAATTTGATAATTAAAAGGACGAATGTCTTAATAGTTGTAAAGTTTTTAATCATTAGCATTGCCCAGGTAAACCAAAATTTAGATTAAAGTTAAAAATTTAAGAAACCGTCAGATATTGCAGAATACTAATTATAATAACTAGAGCCCAGATCTTATGATCTAAATTTTCAAATAGATAGTAAAAATCAATTTTCAGATCTAAAAAATATTTTAAACCATTTATTAACAACATGAACAACTTAAATAATCATGATCAAACTGAAGAGACACATTAAACCATAAAGTTTGAATAAATCAGAATTTTAAGAAATGACATAACTTCATAAAAAAAAAAAAAAAAAACTATTTTTATTATGTTTGTAGGAAACAACATTTGCTAGATATTGTTATATCTTATTAATAATATTAATGTTATCACTTAATTCAGTAAAATTTTATAAAATATATATTTCCTTTTGTAATAAAAATGGATAGAACAAAATATCCCATATAACGTTAACAGGGATTTATTAATAATGGGAAGGAGACCTTTTCAATTTATTTCAGAACTGTCTAGGTTATGTATTCATCTAGACTGTTAAACATTAAATTAGGTAAATACTGAAGTATAACTTATATGGCCAAATTTTTAATATAACCAAAATTTTAAAAGCATTCATGAATAAAACTGTTGTAGAACTGATTGAAGGGAGGGACAGGAAAATAAACGATTTTGTAACTAACTATACAACAGTGCAAACCATGCTGAGATGTGTTAAGCATTATTAACGCACTTCTACATAATTAAATTTAGAGTTGTAAGAATAGAGAATTGTTTCAAATTAGATTAAAAAATAAAATTATTCATTCACGATAGACAAAAACTGAGAAAGTTAAGCGTTTCAGAGACTTCAGTATCTTCAGAAATAAAAATGTAATCAAATAAAACACTGCGCGAAGCTCAAAATAAATGTAAGTGCAATAATAAAATTTATAACTGCGATATGTTTTAATATGTAACGTTTTTATGTAAGAAAAAAATTTGTAATTACAAAGAAATATATAATTTGAATCCCGTGGTTGGTGTTCTTTTTTTAGAACTAATATAATTTATTTTTTATGACCACTTACAGTTATTTTTATGATAGTTTTCAGTTATTTTGCTTTTCAGAAATGAGCAAATACGCAAGAAAGCAAAGTGTTGTGGGATTGGCGCTCTAATTTTGCATTGCTATGTGCGGCCAGGAAGGCATATAGCATCCCCCCCCCAGGCATAAAGTCCCCCCCTTAACAGTTAAATAAAAAGGTCAAAATACATTTTTGAAAGCTAATTTCTTGCAGGGTAACTCAAAATAGTATTTTAAGCAAATAACAAAAAAAAATCCATTTTTTGTGAACGTCATTTTGGATTTCAAGACCCGCCTTTTGGTAGAAACACTCGAATGAGCTTCCACAGTCAAAGGGTTAATCTAGCATCAAAAATACATACTGTCACATTTAATATTTTAATAAAAGTAAACTACACAATTAACATATGACTAATTAAAATTATATATATATATATATATATATATATATATATATATATTATATATATATATATATATATATATATATATATATATATATATATATATATCATTTTCCAAAAATGTACACAACTAATAACAGATATTGCAGAATACTAACTAAAATACCGCAATATATCAATGAAGAAGCTAAAAAATGCTTATTTCGTCGAAACATAAATGTTTAAAATTAAATTGTTTATTGAAAAAAATAAGGATAGAATATATTTAGAAATTTATCAGGATCCAATATCAACACAATTATTATTTAAATGACAACAGAAACTTCATCATATTTTTACATAAATAATAATTTATCTTTTTATTTTTTTCTGCTGGTTTTATTCCCGAATTGCTTCTTGTCGTTTTATTCTAGGTTTTTTCATCTCCTAGTTTTTTCTTCTATTCTCCTCAGAAACTGCATTTCCATTGCTTGGATTTAGCTTTTATGTTTTGAAGCTGTAGTCCAGGATTCACTGCCATAGGTCAGTATACGGACAAATATATTTTCATACACTGTTTTCTTGGCATTTTTTGACACTTCTCTATTTGCTAAGAAGCCTGTTTTTAATAAATGGAAGCATTTGCTGACCAGTCTTGTACTTTCCCTGATTTCTCTATCTATCAAGCCGTTCTCATTTAGATGGGCACCCAGATACTTAAAGTCTTTGATGTGCTCAAGTTCCTCTCCCTTCAATTGAAGTACTTGGTTTCCCCTCCCTTTCCCTCTCTATATCCTCATTATTTTTGTTTTGTTGCTGTTTATTTTCATGTTAAACAGTTCTAGTTCTTCCTGCAGGATTTGGAGGTTTCTTCCATCATTCCTGAATACCATGATATCATAAATATCTAAAATATTTTGTTTTATTTCAGTAAATAAAATATTTTTTCAGTATAAACAAAACATAAATTTTTGTTATCAGACTGACCCTTCTTAGCGGAAGTTTTTTTAGTGATATTTTTCCCAGAAATAATAGAATTTTGTACAGTTCTGATGTTCATTGGAGAAAGGTGGGGTGCATTTTATATTCTATATACAGAACCTCTAGGACACAATTATAAATAAAGGTGTTAAGGATATCTGATTTAATAAAAATTTCCATGTGATTTTTTAAAAGTTTTGTGCACTTAAATTCTAAAGAAAGTTAAAAGGTTGAAATTTTGTAGGTAAATAGAGTTGATGACAGAGAAGTAATAGATGGGAATCACAACTTTTATCTCTCATTCTACCATTTTTTCTTTGGTGTTCCAAATCATGTGTTACATGTTTTATGTTGTTTTCATTTTTTCTTACCCGTCATTTTAATAAATTATAACAAATTATTAAGTGTTCAAAGACAAAACTCGAGAAAAAAATGAAAGCAGATCAATTCATTTTAAAGTCCTATTTAATTTTTTCAGGTAAGCATAGATGAAACAAAGCATTTTCATCATTTTTCTAAACTAAAATGAAGAAAAATAAACTATAGATGGAGCTTTGTCCAGATCCTGTTTCTTTTCTTTTTAAATATAAATGAACTAAAAACAAAAAAAAGAGACATAACTAAAATAGTAGGTTATAATTTGAAAAATTTAAATATATAGTCTGTGTCTCTAAAATGTGGATAAAAACAAACTATTTCATCAATTCAGGCATAATTAAACATAAACAACCAAAATCACATAAATACAAACAAAATATAACCAATTTCTCATCAACAATCTAAAAAAAAGACACATAAACTAGAGACAGTACATCACTCCATCACCTCTTAACACATACTGAAAGAAACGGAATATTACACAGCTGAGGAAGGTAACGATTTAACAGCTGATCAGTATAAAGGAAGGAAGAGGAATATACTTTATTCAAAGTAATGCTGCCCTACTACATAGTGTTGCTTTATACACAGCATACTGATGAATCCCATTTGTACATAGCAATTAAATTACATTAGGAGTATTCATGCAACCAGTGGTGATGGTATACAGTACACTCGATTTTAAAGCAGTCTGAGGTCTTGTAAAGTGGTGCTAATTATATAAAAGCATGGAGGTTATAGTGAGGTATTTATGTCTTATTTAGATCTTTGTTCAATGTTTATTAACACTATCCACCGAAAGGGGATCTTTCTTCGTTTTTTCATTTTATCTAACACGAATTTTCAACTGACCGCAACTGGTTAATAAATATCGGAAATTTATGGTCACCCCCTGACCATTTCAAGTTTTTCGTGTCCTTACTGCTAAATAATAAATTATTCCTAGTTTCGTTCAAGGGTGATTATGTTATGTTTGCTAATGACCAGTGACTAGCTATGGTCAGTGGTCATGACAGCTTGTTTTTGTATTTCTTCAAGATACCATGGGTGATAAATATTCAGGATGCAGTCTTTTTTAAATTTTTTTATTTTTGCCAACGTTTCAACCCAAACATGTGGGTCATCTTCAGGGCGTGGTTTGAGCACTGAGGGTGTTCAAGTACTGTGAGGGTGTTCGAGTACTTCTCAAAATTTGTTAATGAGTGGGTTTGGTGATGTTTTATTTATAATATCTATATTTTACAATTTATTTTTAGTTTATGTCAGTATTATAGTATTTTCGTCCTTTATTAGCTAATAGCAATATTTAAAATTACATCAAGCAGTTGCTCAATAAAAATAGTAATTTTCAAAATAATAAAGAGCATTTTAAAAATTATTCTCCCGATTGTTTGTTTAAAAATTGTTCCCACCACCAAACTAGTTTTTTTTTAACCATAATTTGTTTGTCATGCTCATGAATGTCACTCTTTTACCCTTATCTGCCACAGAAAGGAAAATTCAGGACATTTATCAATTTTACTCTTAGGACAATTAGTTGTGAATCTAAATATGTAACCAAAAATATTATCCAGCAAACTGTTGACGCTACAACATCCTTCTGCATCATTTAACTCCCTGAACTACGGCCATAACTGGTAATTTACCCTAACAAAATAAAATAAAATTTTAATCACAGAAATATAATTAAATTTAAATTAAAGGCACTGCAGATTATTATACCATGTTTAGGAAACTCTACTAAATCTATCTAATTTGCCTTTTTAAATTTTCAGGATCAGCTGTTTAAGTGATTATAATCTTCCTCTTCTGTGAATTTCAATTTTCTTTTATATTGATAATTTTTTCTTTTCTTCTTTTTATTTATATTTTTTGTGGCATCTTTATGTTCTTTGGTTGTTGATAACACTTTTCTTTTATTATTAATGATATTTTACATGGTTAGTGATATGAAAGGGAGTAGAAAAATTGTGGATAGTGTAAACAAAAATAGAACAAAGATCTAAATAAGACATAAAAACCTCACTATAACCTTCTCCATGCTTTTATAAAATTAGCACCACTTTACAAGACCTCAGACTGTGTTAAAATTGAGTGTACTGTATACCGCCATAATTAACACATTTTTTAAGTAGGTTTCTCAACTTACACACATTTAAGAGGTTTACAATACAATGTACTAACACTGGTTGCATGAATACTCCTAATGTAATTTAAGTGCTATGTACAAATGGGATTCATCAGTATAATGTGTATGAAACAACACTACTTTAAGTAAAGTATATTTCTCTTCCTTCCTTTATACTGATCAGCTGTTAGATTTTAACCTTCCTAAGCTGTGTTATATCCCCTTTCTTTCAGTATGTGTTAAGAGGTCATGGAGTGATGTACTGTCTCAAGTTTATGTGTTTTTTTAGAATGTTGGAGATAAATTGGTTATATTTTGGTTGTATATGTTTGATTATATCTGAATTGACAAAATAGTTTGTTTCTACCCACATTTTAGAGACACAGGCAATGTGTTTAGATTTTTCAAATTGTAAATAATATTTCAGTTGTCTTTTTTTTGCTCATTTATATTTAAAAAGAATAGAAACAGGGTCAGGGGCAAAGCTCCCTTCTGTAGTGTATTTTTCTTCATTTTAGTTTCTCAATTTTCGATGAGCTTGCGCAGCATTTTACCCTTTCCAGAAGTAAAAAATGACTTGAGTAAATGAATGACACTATTTTTATACATAGAATGTAATATGGACTGTGACATTTCAAACACACTATAGAATGGCTTCATTGAATAAGGATTGCAAGAGATAAGAGACTTGAAAGTCACCTATTGTGATAAAACGTGTAATTATTTTTTCCTCAACCCAATAGATCAAAAATTTCAGAATAATTCATTAACAATCTTCATAAGTAAAATCACACTACAAATAGTCAATTTACACATTATTGGAGAAAAAGATTTTTTATATCCCAACAGGATTAGAGAGAGATTCACTAGTAAATTAATCACAAACATTTCTATAAAATATCTACCCATAAACCATCACAACAAATTTGATCAGTGGGCTCATTATTGTGAAAGTTCTAAAAGCCTGTACATAATTGGTAAGGTGACCATAAATGATGATTTAACCTATTTCATGTTACTAAAAATGTTCATCAGCTGAAATTGGAAAGACTGGTGAGAAAGAGTCATCGCAAAGAGATAATTTGTGAAAAGTTGCTATTTTGATTAAGAATTAGAAACAGAGGAAATGGTTGAATTTAACGTCCCTAATTGTTTATTTCTCAAGTTGTTTAAGTGCTCTGTATGTTTATGCTATGTTACTAATGCTGCTTCAAAGCTTGTAGTCTTCATCTGATGTACTGTTGAAACTGGGGAGTTGCTTTAGAAAGGAAATGTTGCACATCAGCATCTGAATGAGACCTTTTTAAATGCAAACAAACTTTTCATTCCCTGAAAATGTCATATTTAAAAAATGATGACAAAATATTTTCACTAATCATTTGACATTATTATTAATTCCCAACTAATACTATTACTCAACTTCATTCCCTAGCCAACAACTCGCTCTTTTTTTTAATAATTACATTTAACATAAATATTTCATTATCAAATTTCATTGTTAATCTGTTGATAATATACTAACTACTTTCACTTTTTATACAAAAAAGTTCTATTGAAACTATTAAAATAGAACATTTTTAAAACATTCCACTTCAATCCCTGGTTTTAACAAACTTTAATGTAGGATGAAGTACAAGTTTTGGGATATTTTGCATAATCTAATTTTTTTGTCATTGTATGATATGCATATTTGATAGTCATCTGTTAGCCTAGTTGATCTTAAGTATTTATGGGCTGCCTCATGCCTCATCTATATATCTCTAATTTCTATATACATCAGAAGATCAGGCCAGCAACAGAAGATAGAGGTTTTAAGAGAGGAGGAGTTATGCATCAATAATACTAATGAGATTAATTGATTGAGGGTGTATACCATACAATCAATAGAAGAGCAGGAAAAAATTCAGGGCTTCAATTTTAATGTCAGGTAAGATTTTTCAAGGATGAAGGCGTCTAATTTGCAAGATGGTTACGATGAATTTTTAAAAGAGTTTTAGAAAAAAATCTAGGATAGAAGATTAACCATTTATTCCATAATTGTGTCCCATCAGTAAAGGGGAGTTTTCAAGGGCATATAAATATCAATTCAAACATGTGAAAAGTATGTAAAAATAATTCATGACAAAAATGGCCTTCTTAACAAATAAGTAATTAATTCTACAATTTCAATGAATAAATAAGAAAAGTGGGATACAACAAAAATTTTAAGCAATTCAACAATTTTTTTTTCCAGAAAATTTATTAATAATGAAACGATAAATTGCAATATGTAAGTACAAAACATAAAACATTATGTCCCAAAGAAGTATAAAATTTTAATTGACAGGACTAAAGAATTTGTTATTATAAAATTACTAGTGTACAGGGTTAAAATGTGTGCTAAAAAATTTATAGTAAAATTAACAAGAACTGAAATAGAGATCCAATCTGACAAATTTTTTAACACAGCCTGTATCAATTTTTATTTCAGCAGAACCTGAAGACTTCTAATATCAAATGATTACTATATACAATTAAATTTACATTTGTAATTAAACATCATCTTAGAAAATGAGATTAATATAATAGAAAAATAAATATTTAAGAAATAAGAAGTTACAATAAAAAATATATGAGTAAAGTTTTAATTTTAACATTGCAAATGTTGGAATTGAAATTTAGTTATTTTACCACTATCTTTGTTTTCCTTCTTGTTACTGTCTGATGACTCTAGTTGTTGCTGCTCCAAAGCTTGTAGTCCTCGTCTGATGTACTGTTGAAACTGGGGGGTTGCTTTAGAGAGGAAAGGTTGCACATCAGCTTCTGGATGAGACTTTTTAAATGCAAACAACCTTTTTATTCCCTGAAAATTTCATATTTAAAAATGATCACAAAATATTTTCACTAATCATTGGACATTATTATTAGTTCCCAACTAATACTATTACTCAACTTCTTTTCCTTTCCAACAACTGAGTATTTTTTTAATATTACGTTTAACATATATATTTCATTATTAAATTGGATTGTTAATCTGTTGATAATATAGGAATTACTTTCACTCTTTATACAAAAAAGTTCTATTGAAACCATTAAAATGAAACATTTTTAAAACATTCCATTTCAACCACTGGTTTTTAAAAAAAATTGTATGGTGGACAAAGAGCACATTTTGGGATATTCTGCATGATATAATTTTTTTTTTTTTTTTTGCATGGTGCACACATTTGATGATCAAAGAAAAAATAATAAAGTTCTCTCTTCTCTTAAGTTTTCTTTCCATTCCCGGTACAAGATGAATCTTTATATATTTTAAAATAGTTCAAACTCAGTGTTGAAAGTGAAAAGACATTTCTAAATGTCCTAACTCCCATTTAAAAAAATTGTCAACAATAAGTGGACGGGATAAGGTATCCACAATTGAAGTCTGATAGTGGAATAGTATTTTGTATTGTTGACGAAAAAATCCTTTTATATGATAAAGAAATTGAGATGTATTCTATTAAAGCTCATTGTGCATAAAGAGTACCCACCTAGTTTATTTTGATTTAAATATAATGGATATATTTGATTTTTGTTGTTTTGTTTTACTCGTTAAAATTGCTAAAACAAAACACAAAGCAGCTAATCTGGTGATAAATGGCAAGAATTTTATTCTAGCTTTTCTAAGATCGCTTCAACCATACCTTTTTATGAAGTCAAATTGTTCTCGTGATTTCATACATAAACATATGAACCAGATTATTCTAGAAGAAAATACTTTTTAGGAATTTTATTTTATTTACCTATCTGTTTCTTTAAAAAAATTTATTGATAAAATCATAACAAAACCATTGATGGTTGGCCCTTATATGTGTATTCTTTATTAACTAGCATTCTTCATCCAGGAATCTACAAAACTTACTGCTGCTAGTAAACCTTCTAAAATTTCATCATGAGCTGTGCACACCTGCGTGTTTTATCCCACAATTCGGCTACCGTCCTATTCTGCCCCTTCTCTGTCTAATGGCTTCCCACGTATTGTTTGATCATTGATCGCTTTATCATTTTTTTTTTTTTAAATAACCATTTCAGGTCAAAGTTTTGATTTTTTTAAGCAATACAGTTTTAGCCAAGCTCCCTTCTCTGTTTGGGTACATAAACAGGTTTGACATTGAAAGTTTCTTCCATAAAATTATGCATGTTCCTTCAGTGGCTGATGGTCTGAATAGGTAGGAAAAATATGTGCATTATTTCACTAAATAAACAAGCAAATAAATAATAGTAAAAATATTTCTAAAAAAAAACAAATCGTCTTACAGTCTGCAAAAGTCTTACTTATTTTAATTTGTTTAAAGAGAAAGACTAAGTATAAGTACAAAAGTACAACAACTAAAGTAAAATTTATATTGTATTTTTAACAATTTTAATGACAAGTTTTTACTAATATCAAGTTTTGTTACACATAAATCGGTGCTCTAGTAATGGTTATTCAGAATCAGCAGCCAAACAAGTTAGCGGGGGAATCCTGGGACCAAAATTTGCATACACAACTATTGGGTTTGTATGCAAGTACACATACATTACAAGCACATCAAATCACTCAGCTACCTTGGCTTTCTTTTGTATATGTCTGTATGAAGGTAAGTACATTTTTTAAATAAATCATTCATCTGAAAAATTAGGAGTAGCAGCATAATCAAAACTCAAACAAACAGAAAATTATTTGCCCCACATTTTTAAAATTAAAAAAAATTTAGAGAATACAAATTTGACAAATAAATTTTAAAAACAGAAAATGCACCTGTGATGTTTCTTCAAAATCACCAATCATACGGAATATTTCAGATAGTTCGTCTTGAGTTTCTTTAGAGATTCTAGGGGTAGGAGTAATAATATTTCTAGGTTCATTTTCTTTGCAAGAAGTTAAGTCTTTTGAGTGCTCTTCAACTTTAAGATGCTAAAGAAAAAATAAATGATTAGAAAAACATTACAATGAATATAGAAGAAAATATTTCAATTTTTTTAAATACTACATAAAAACATTAATACCTAACTAAAAACAAAATAATTAAAAAGTATTGATATCACATTGAAGTAATAATTACACTTCAATTTACAATCACATACTTTGTAACAGTCAAAAATAAAATAATTTTATACTTAGCCTATTCCCTGTATTAATAATCCTTTCCCCTTAATTATCACCCAATCTGAACCCTATATCATTGTGAAGAAGGATGAAATAACCAAATACTTATAATAATAAAAGGCTTAGAGAACCCGAAGGTTTGAAGCCAACACCACCAATCACTGTTTACACACCTCCCTCCACCGGTCGCTGTACAAACCCAGTCCTGTCAGATCAGCCTTAACACTATCTTCCCACCTTCGCTTTATTTATCCCTCAGACGTTTACCAGTCAACAAAGCAAATATTAACCTTTTAGGGGTTCTTTCATTACTTAGCCCAACAATTTTATTTCCCATTTTATTAGCTGTGATGTAATTACCTGAATTATATTATATCTAGGGGGGAGAGGTGATCGAGCGGGCTAAAGCGTGTGCACAGCACCATGCGTTGCCTTGCAACCTGATAACCAAGATTTGAGATAAGCAAATAATTACGAGTTCAAATCCCAGTGCCCGGTTGGACATTTAACTCGGCATAATTCTCTGCCCTCTCCCCCGGCATGGGAAAAAAACTCATGTAGCCTAAAAGGCAGGGAAGGGGGAGAAAAAAAAAAACATGCAATTTTGTGTTGTGTAAATGACTAAATTCTCAGGTTGACTCATCCTCTCTGGATATTCTACGCAGTACTTTATTTTCAAAAACCTTAAGACATTGCTCGCCCCTTAATCTAAGTGGCCATGTTTTGCATCCATAAAGAAGTGTAGGTAGAATAATAGAAATAATTAACTGTAGACTCTGAATATCTGAGAGTTTAGAGAAACACCTTATCTTCATCTAATGAGACATCTTAAAAAGCAGCAAACCAGATTTATGGGAAGATTTGAAGGCAAAGAATGATGTTAGCCCTATTGTGAAAAATTTCATAGTAATTTCTAAAAATATAAAATTAAGTATAGAAATATCTACACTTTGCAATTTGAGTGAGGAAAAACAATAAAAAAAAGAATAATAATAAAATTTAAAAAAAAAACAATATCCCTAATCATTTTTAATGGAATTATATCAGCAACAGAAAGTATTTTGGTATGTAAACAATACCAATAACAACATAAGCAGCTAATATCTCTTCACCTTGATGACTTTCTTTATGTAAGTATACAATTCAGAGTCCTTTGATATATCAGGCATTCTTTCAACTATGTCTCTTACTTCAGTGCCTCTAGTTTTAACCATTGTATGTAAGACAGTTTTAACAGTTCTTAAAGGAACATCAACTTCTTTGTTTTTCCACCATGCAGTAGGATAATCCTATGAGGAACAAAAAAAATTGATAATTACTGATAAAACAATTGAAATTATTTAATTTAATGTAAAAAGATTACTAAGTCATACCTTTAGGAAAGTATGGAATTCATTAAGTATCCTGGAATAATCTAATTCAGAATCCCATTCTGATTGAGCTTTATTTAATTTCCAAATGCATTTAACAACTAAATCCCTATAATGATTAGTTGCTTTTGGATTATTTACTATACTATAAAGAATTTTCAATAAGGCACTGAAACACAATACTATTGATTAGGTAAAATTTTAATTTGACAGAAATATAATCTAGATAATAAATCATATAATATTCTCCAAAAGTAATAAACATTTCAGTCAATCAATCAAACAGTAACTCTTTTTTAAAAATTTATTTATTGTAATTTTCAACTGTATTAACTAAAAAGCAAATTTGAATAGGTAATATAACATATATGACTTCATGAGTAACTACCCATTGGTAGTACTCCTATCAACAGTAACTCTAAATTAATAAGACAACATTTTAAACTTTTTTAAATCAGTATTCCCTACACTATAATCACAATTTTTAAGATAAATAAAAAGAAAGAAGTGTCAATAGAGAGCAATTAGAAAGAACGAAAGTTGGCAAAAATAAAATATCAAATTAAGTTTATAGTGTGGGTCTAAATTAATTAATGGGTTTCCTCTGACTGTTTGATTTATAGGCTTCTAACAAAAGTAAATAACAATGAATAAATGATTAAGTCCATGATTTAACTTTTCTACCAAACGTAAATAACAACAAATAAATGCCTAATTTAAAAGTTTACATCAATTAAAAAAAATGTAATCAATTTTTTAAACATATGTTGAATTTTATTAATTTAATGATATGAATATGCATTTTAATTAAATTTCCAACATTATAGTAAATTTGTCACAAGAAAAAAAATGTTATTTCGTCTACATTGTCTCTAAATCTAATGATAAACAGGAACTAAATCTATAAGAGACAAAAAGGTTACAGAATAACTTAAATGGTCCAACTCAGTGACATATGTAATTAAAAAAGAAAATATAAAATGTAGTAATTACAAAGATAATCACGAGAGATTAATATAATAAATAGTATGTATAGTTAAAATTAAAAAAAAAAATATAAAGTAAAAAAAAATGCTTCTTACCATAGAATATTGGTTTTATTTGAGTTCTCAAGAAGCCTTATGACTAAATTATTAACAACTCTGACAAACATGTCTTGTTTCTCAAACCTTTCTAAACGTGGTTCAGCCAACAAATTAAGGAGCTGCTCCACTATTTTATAAAGAGTACCTTCAGTAATTTGAGAGCAAAGCTCTGGATTGTTGCATACCTAAACATAAAATTTCAAAACATTAGATATAAATAAACAATCATTTATCATTATCAAACTAAATATGTGCAATACATAAGTTCATAAGGTAATTAAAAATTACCTAATGGCCAATATCTGAAACAGCAAAGAGGAGAAAATACCAATTTGTCAAAATAGATAGCTTTATTATAATTTTATACGATGTAATTATTTAAAGAATATCAAGTTTTTCCTTCTTTTTATCTTAAGAGTTTTACATTGAGAACATTTTTATTGAAAATAGTACTAAAAAATACAACATTATATTAGATTATACATATCAGAAACTTTGTCATTGAAAAAAAGAGTCAAACAGGAAGATCCCTTATCTGCATTGTTATAGAACATAGAGCTTGAGATGATTATGAGGGAAGCTAAAATAAAGGTTGAAAAATATATATGTAATTATATGACTCAATGCCTGGCATATGCCGACAATGTGGTCATAATAGGAAAAAATCAAGATTCATTTTTAAAGACATTTATGGAATGTAAAGAGGCAGCTAAGAGGGTTTGGCTCAGATTGAACAAAACCAAAACAAAGTATCTATCATCCAGGAAAACCTCAGCAAGTGGAGGATGTAGCTTTGAAAATGTGGATAAATTTAAATATTTTGGTACAATTGTAACTCACGATAATAAAATGAAAGAAGAAATAAAAACAAGAATTGGAAATGGAAACAAATGTTAATGTCCCATCAGACAAAGATATTTCAAAATAAAGAGACACCCTGAAACCTCAAAATAAAAGTATATAAAAGAGCACTCCACCCAGTAATCATTTATGGAAGTGAGACATGGACCCTAACCAAGCAGCAAGAGAGATTGCTGAGTACATAAGAGAGAAAAATCAGAGAATAATAGATGGCTCCACTAAAGAAGGAAGTAGTTAATGTACAAAAACAAACACAGAACTTAAGGACCTACATAAGGATGACCTGATGACCTGATAGTGTCCTGCATTAAAAAGGTAAGAGTAAAATAGCTGGGCCATGTATATCAATGGATAAAAAAAAATCTGGTACGTGCAACAAACAACTTTCACTTACCGCTCAACTTCGAATAGAAATAATTTTTTAGGGCATGTTGTGCTATTATAAAATTTTTGAATTGCATTTTTAAACAAGCTAAAGCTAAAAGCTTACAGTTAAAAAATCATAAATACTGTTAAAATAACAAAAATCCTATTTATGATATCAGCGGTTGATGATGGGTTGTATGATCCATTGATTAGGGATTATGATCCGTTGATTATGAATTGTACGACTATTAGTTATTTTCCATTGCAAGGTTTGCTAAAATGGAATTAAGTGATTTACATTGACACTGTTGTTATTAAAAAGTTGTCGCACTAATTGGAAGTGGATGCTGTTGGAATATTACAAAAGGAAAATTCATCAAATTATTCACTAATTTAATTTTCTAAAAGGTTACATGATGATTTTTTGAAATAAACAGATGATAAATACCTTTCCAACGATATAATATACGTATACCTTCTGACTATTATTTCCGGACTGGATAGGTATTTTTCTTTTTTTTCTCCTATATCCAATTATCAAATTCTTTCAAAAGTTATTTTAGCATTTTTTCAGAACTCCTAACAATAAGAAATAGTTATTATTTATAATAAATCAAATTGAAGGTACTTTAGAGGAAGAAACGATAATTTTGGAATACCACAAAGGGAAAATTCATCAAATTATTCACTAATTTAATTTTCTAAAAAGTTATATCACAATTTTTCGGAATAAACGTTGATACCTAATTATTTAAATATAATATCAGATCTATAATCACTAAACTACAATAAATGTATTTAAGGTTATGAACATATGCTTTATACATCCATGAAATGATTTTACATTTTACTTCTTCTTTCACACAAGTACAATGAAATAGTTTTTTTAACAATGGAATTAATATCTACTAAGTGAGTGAAACATATTTATGTGTTTGTCTATTGATCAATTATAATTCTTTTAACTAATTGTTCTTCAAAAAAATATTGAAAGAATACATTTTTTTTTTTTTTAACTATAACCACTCTGCCGTCTCTTCCTAACTACTTTCCTTACAAAACAATAAAATAAAATAAAAAAATTTAATTTATAAAATAATTTTTTTAAAATTTTTATAGGAAGGAGTTGTTAAGCACAAATAGGTACTTAAGATTTTAGTATTTTGTATTTGTATTTTAAATAAAAAATACAAAAAGTATTTTGTATTAAAAATATATTTTTTTTAGGCCTAGATTGAGTGGAGAAAACAAGGAAAGAAGTCCTGACCTTGGGATTCACAATGATTTACACTGGTATGAGCAAAAAAAAAAAAGAGCTGGAAAGGGTGGTAACAAGCTAATGTACTTCAAACTAATTTGAGAACAATACAAATAACCTATTAGGAAGAAAAAAGTGATTTAATAAATAAGAACCCATTACAGTCGAATTCCTACAAAATAAGAAAAGCAACTATTATATGAGAAAGCTTCAAGGAATAAGCAGCATGAAGTTAATACAAATTTGGAAATATATGATTTATATCTGATCATTAAGGGAATTATACATTAAGCATATTACAAAGTCTGTAGTAAGAAGCAAATCAGTGCAAACATCAAAAGGAAAATATAAGACTACTATCTAGAAAACATAAGAAAATTTTGGAATACTGTTCTGGTTATCTAAGAAAAGATAGGAAAACAAGTGAGAAGCATCAAAAACAAATAAGTAAGTTAGAGAATGACAAAAATGAAATCCTCAATATATGGATAGAAGACCAGAAGTTCTGCATGGATAAACATAGAATGGATCACTTAATAGAACAGTATCTTTTCTTCCTGTACTGTTATATAAATAAGAGCACTAGACTGTGCAGATAAACAAATCATAAAAATTACAACAGAGTAAATGAGGTTTCTAAGCAAATTAGCTGGAAGGAATATGGGTGATCACTAGAAAAATGAGACAACAAACTGGGAGAACTTGCTGATCAGAAATGAACTGGAAGGAAGACAACCCAAATGTATTGGTAGACTAGACTTATGATCAATATATTTTAAGACTAATATGAGTAAAGGATACAGAATGCTAGTAATTACAACGGCTAAGTTAAATGAGGAGTTAGACTAAGTTAAATGAGGGAATTGATGAGAGAGTATTCCATGCCTAACTGCACAACAGAGGAGCCAGAAAAAAATTGTTATATTTTAGTCTTTCAACTATTAATATTTTATAATTACTTACCTTCATGAAGAGTGAAAAATTTGCTCTATAGCAATTTACAACTTCTGGATGTCCACTTTGATTCAGAATTATTATTAAGTGATTTAGTTGAGAAACCATGTGATCGACAAAGTCAGTTAGATGACACCACTTGAACAAATAAATATAGGTCATAAAAATAATTGATAATATGCTATTATAAAGGATATAAAAGAAGAAAAAATTATACCTTGTCAGAATTAGCAATGGTATCAAGTCTTGATATTGCAGCCATAGCCTTTTCAATATCACTACTAGCTATGTTTACTAATTCACGTCTAATAGCAGCTGGTTGCGAATAGTTTGAAAGTGTGGGCGTCACTTTAGGCATATGTATAGGTTTGAATGATGCCCTAAAGAATTAATTAAAAAAACATTAATCATTTTCTCTAGAACAAATACATAACTCCGATGTTGGAAAAAAGCATTAAAAAACAATCAATACAAACATGAAACTTTACACAGTTAACATGTTTACTTGCCTTATAGATAAAGAAACTAATCCCAATTCATTTAATGGGATAAACATTGAATAATCTTTAAAAAAATGTTTCACTCCAAAATATTCTAATAAGTTTTATTGTTCCTACATTGAACTGTGTTAAGCTGAGCACTAAATTATCAAAGTGACAACCAATCCAGTACATAACTTAGGATAATTCAAATAAAAAAAGTATAATAGGAAGACCAGATGGCTGATGGACCCTTCTGCTGCAATGAGATTATAGATAAGATAATGAACTATTTTTTACTCAAATAAAAGATAAAATTAAAATTAATTTTCTCTAAAATATACAATGCATACCTTCTAAAAAGGACATTGAACATGTTTTTGTAAAAACAGGTTAGGTCAACTCTTAAGAGGCAAAGAGGAATAGGAATGACAGATAGGAAGAACTATTTCAGAGAGTAATAGAAGGTCTAGGCGTTGGCTGCAGGATGTGGAGGACTATAGTCAATTTTTAGGTGTTGAAGGATGGAGAAGATTAGATGAGAACAAGTCTAACAGGAAGATTGCTAAGGATACCATGATTCAAGAAGGACCATAGCAATATCAGATGATGATATAAACACATATCCTTTATAAATAATTAAAAATGAATGAGTTAATACAATATAAAACTAATAATATGGAATACACAATGCAACCACAACTTTAAGGCCCAACAGAGGAGTAGTAAAAAAGTTAAGGATTGTGGACAAGCTTCAGATTTACAGCCACACTGAACTTACTGCTGAGTTGGATCTTTTAAAAATTGTAAATCAATGTCCACCAGTTTTGGAGCCTGAAAATGCGCTGTCGTACATTCAATTTTATCCACAATAGTCCGATCAAAACCATAGGCACCAAAATTAGGACGAACTCTGGAAAAAAAATTTAGATCAATATAACAATTTAGTCTTGGGTGCAAACAAAGTATGATGCATTAAAAAAAAAATGATTTTTTAAATATTTTTCTAAATAATTCTTTAAACTACTTTGTAACACAACATAAACAGCGAGTATTCAAAATATTATTATATTTCTCTTCAAATATGGTCAATCTTTATAATTAAAGTAAATCAAACACTTTACCCAGTTACACGTCCAGATTTACAAATAATTATACCTACTATTTTAAAACAAAAGATTTTATGATGTCTATTATATAAAAAATGTAATTTTTAATTTAAATTAGTTCTTTAAAAAAAAAAAGCTAAAATGTTCATTGAATACCTTGCAGCTCTTGTAGGAGTGATACTAGGTATAAAAGAACTTGGGCAACCCCTAGAAACCTCAATTCTATCTTCAGGCCCCTCTTGGTCTTCTAATACATCTTCCACAACAGGAAGAGGAGGAGATGGTTCTAAAGTGCGAATCTCAGTTTGTATCTCAGCCTCAGGAACAACTACTAATGGTTTGACAGTATTCAGAGGTCGACTTTTAGCAGCTCTTTTAATTCTTTCTTCTAGCAGTGACATATCCTTTTCGGATATCTATAATATATAAATAGAATAATTTAAAATACACTTCTATGATTTTCACCTGGCATAGTGTTACTTACACTACATAGAGATATAATGAAAATACTTAGCATGAAAAGAATTGTAGGTGGAGATAATAAATCAATAATAAGATAATAATGGAGATATTGTAGACAGTTAAAGAAATCATCATCACCAACCAATAGATGTTGCCAACTGGTCAGACTGACTTGTTATAATTGATTAAATAAACTCAAAACTAAAAAAAATAATCAAAGAGATGGTAGTCTCATGATTTTGTGAGACAAACATACACTGGATTAAAAATAGCCTACAGTAGCTTTTTTTAAAGAATGGAAAATAAAATAAGACTTTATTTTTTATAACAGCATTATTCACATATGTAGACATTTAAGAAGCAAATGAATAAATATACTTCTTGTTATTAATCCTGACTCTGATTCAAAATTATTTAACAGGGCACTATGGTTTTTATTAAAATAATAAAAATAGTAAGATACCATACCTGGCCAACCCATTTTAATGTTTTTTCCCCTTCAAGAAAATAAGCTGTGACAACACAATTGAGTGCAGCATTTCTGACTGATGTATCACGATCAGCTATTTGCTTTGCTATTTCTTTCAAAGCACCTGCTGGACTTGGATTACAAACAGACACACCATAATTTTCAATTAACCAGCTTAATTGCTCCAAACATTCTGAAAATAAAAAATATTGCATATGAGGTGAGGTCATAGATAAATTATTAAATACAATAGTATATATGAGTGGATAAGAAAAATAAATAAACAAACCTGATCGCTGCCGGGCATTTTTGGACTTCAGACCCTCCATGACATAAAAGAATTGTTTACTCACAGGATAAACAGCACTAATCTGTTTTAAAATAGCACGCACACTATTTCGAACGGTATCTTTAGGGTCGCCAACCTATAACAAACATTAATGTTCATATATGTCAGAAACAATTATGATTAAAAACAAACTATGAAAATAATTAAAATACAATGAACCAGCCATTGTAAAAATTATAATTAATTAATTAACATTTTTCAATTAGTTTATACTATAAATTACAAGTCATATAACATTATTTAATTTAAGGAAAGAGATGGCCAGTGTGGCAGTCACAAAATAACTTTAAATAATGGAAATTATTTATTAAGCCCACATTTTGACCCAACTATGCAACTTCAGGCAATGAGAATGACTTCAATACAACATTCAAGCAGTAAATTAAATAAGTGGATTTTTATAAATTTAAAGTTTAAAAATGACTTAAAACAATTTCAATGATTGAAGTGATGCCACTAAAGAACTATAAATTATATCTAAATATACCAACATAAATAAATTACATACATTAATTAGATTATATGCATTTATTATATATTCATACTTACTTTAAGTATTAGGTAGGGAAAAAAGGATGATGCTTCACTATCCATCATACTGTATTCTTCTTCGATAAGAACACTAAAAACCAAGTTTAAGTATTCTAATCCTTTTAATAGTACTGATGGATTAGTATCAAAGAACCTGAGAGTCATCCAACGTAATATTAAATCTAAATTAGATATTAAAGCTTCTTTGTTTAAAGGTAAATCCTAAAACAATATAGAATCATAAAAAAATATAGATAGTTCCAAGAACTTATTTATCATTGTCAAAATTAAAAGACATTGATTGAATGGATAATTTTTTATTTTAGTTGTATTACCAATGTTAATTTTTAAAAAATGTTTTAATATATTTCTCCTATACAACTCTCCTAAAAGAATTTATACAGAAACAAACATATCCACACAAACAAATACACAATAAAGAGTGAATCAAATGTTAAGGGTAATGTTACTACTTTGCTTAGAACACATTCCAAACTATACTATAGAATAGGAGGTCAATATTTGGTTTATGAGGAGTAGAGAACTTTGTGAGACTTAGTGGCTGAGCAAAAGGTACATTCACCTGTTGTGCAACATATAATTATGAAGTTGCTACCAACTAAAGCATAAAATCCCCATAAATTTATACTCATTTGAAGGCAATACACTGTTTCTGAATTGAATTGATATATTGGTGAAAGAATGTAAAGATGGGCGAGAAAAAGTTGAAAAACGAAAGTCATGATCGATAAGCAAAGATTAAGTTTTACTAACGACAATATTAATAGCACTAGAGAACTCATTGTATGTTCTCCAAATGTCCAGTTCATTGTTGAAAAAATCCCTATATGGTTCTGACATCCACTTGTCTCCTTTCATAAATATAGGTATTATAACAGACATCTTCCAATCTCTTAGAAATTCTTTGTTCTTCCAAAATAAATTTATTAAGTTTAGGAGGTACTGGAATAACTTTTCTACTATAATCTTCATGTATTTCATCATGTATAGTGTGTTCCAATCTATGCCTCCTGCTTTACCTAATTTGAAAGTTGCTATAACATCTTCAATTTTATATGTTTATGAAGTCATCTTCTTTCCAGCTTATTTGTAAGAGATGGTTCTGTTCTTTGTCTTTAATATGCTTTATTGCAGGGGTTTTTTCTAATTAATAATATTTCTAATTAATAAAACAGCTTTTCATGAGAAAAAAATTCTCTTCCAATTTGTTTCCAAATTCTTCCGATGCTTTTCATTGTGTTACTATAACAACTTATGTTTTCCTTTTGCGGTCTTTATAGAGCCTATAATATCTAACGGGGCTGGTTTTGAGATAGTGATTCCATTATGTGATTTTTCTTCTTGATCTCTAGTTTTATTTCTTCGATCCACCACGAATATTATAGTTTATTATTTAATATTATATTATAATTTAATATTATTATATAATTTAATATTATATTATTTATTATTATTTAATATTATAGTTTATAGTATAAACTTTTAGGTCGATTGCTTTTGAAAAAGATTTCTAGCTATTATGTTTAATTAAATGATAAACTAATTAATCACCAATTATTTTTAAGATTCAAGCGATTAAATATTTGCTCTCATAAGATGCAAATAAAAACTGAACATGATTATTCAGATAGACTATACTATTATAGATATATAAAGAAAAGATTACTTATTATTACAAATTTAAAAGTAAAAAAACTACTAGAAAATTTTACACACAAAACATGTAAACTAATAATAATTAAACCTTATAACAACAATAAGAAGATATAAAATAAAAACCTCAGTTAATGCATCAATAGCACGAATGTGGTATCTGAAGTCATTGTGAAACATATGAGCAACAAGTGTTTTATTGACATTTGCAACTATCATCTGTTCTCGAAGAAGATCAAAGAATTCTGTCCTTGGCGTAACAAAGTTCCAACGAAGAGTCTGAAATTAAAATAGAAAATATTGAATAAAGATAACTAATCTCAAAATAACACATCAAATAGGCAAGTAAATATAGTTCCTTTGTTTACATTTTTTCATAAGTTGATTGATTCATTATTTAAAGTACAAACTAGGATAAATGCATCTATTATTGACATATTACCAATTATTGAAACTTGTAACTTAAATTTGATAAAATAAGCGTTAAGGTTCACGTAGAATTTCAAAATTAGCACCCTTTCAAAGGTACATATTTCAGCCTTTGAAAGGGTAAGTTGCAAATATTACATGAACCTAAACACTTATTTCATCAAATTTAAGTTGCAAGAGTTAATAATTGGTAATATGACAATAATAAGTGACTTAACCCTAATGGTTTTTAAATTTTCTATCTCGGTTAAACTAGAGCCATAGGGGAGGGAATTCATGCTTTAAGCATGTTTTCATAAAAGTAAATAAATCTATTTCATTTATGAACAAAAACAACATTCAATTCTTTTATAGTTTTAAAATATATTTAAAATTTAAGCATTTTCAGATTTGGAAAATTTAGTAAGCCTACCCCTTGGTTACTTACTTGCCTAGTCTTGCAGCTATTTTATCTCTTATCAGTCTAATTTTTAAGTTAATAACGTAAATGAGTGAAAACTTAAAAATATAAGTAGCAAGGTGAACAAATCCATACAAGATGTGAAAAAACAAATATTTATCTTTATTAAAAAGCTTAAACGTAAGCATAATTTAACTATTATCCTTCAACACTACACAAATTAGTTACTTTAACATTTAATATCATGTAATGTCTTACCTAACACTTACTATTTAACATCTATGCATTAGATGTTAAATCAGTGGTCTGAACATGATTGATGGAAAGAAATATATGGGCGAAAATTGGTGGTATCAGCTTAAAACCTTTGGGTTCGCTATACTTTTTATTATTATTACTATACAAACTGAATTTAATGTAAAATAAAGAAATCATAATTAGGTACATAAACAATAAAACTTCTCAATAATGGAAAACTACAGGGAATCAAATTTTGTTTGCTAAGGAGAGACGACCATTAATCAGAAAATTAAAGAATTATCATGTATCATAGTATATTACATCAATTGTTACCAAGTACATTTCCACAAATCCGACAATTAACTCTTCACAAGACATAAATATGTTCTTACAGTTTAAAAACAATAACTTACAATGATATGATTTTACCTTCAATTTTTGTTCATCAATAACCCTTTGGGTCTTCAGAGGATTCACTTGCAACAAAGGACCTCCATCATTTTCTTCCTCCTTTTTCCTCAAGCTTGTGCTTGATTTAGAGGATGGTATATTGCCCTGAAGCCAATGAAAATAAAAAAAATAATTGAACTAATCCATTTTACAATATAAATTAAGAATACAAACAAATTCACAAAGAAAAGGGTATAATGACCGAAGTTAATACATTAATTCATATCATACAATACAACAAAAATTAATTTTAATACATAATATATCACTTCAAGAAAACGGTGTAATGTGCGCATCACACAACTTTCACAGACCACCCTTTTCTTAGCAGAAATAAGTATTTTCAGACAAAGGGAAGTGAAATAAAAATTATAAAAGGAACAAAATATTATTAAAAATAATTAACTACTAGATGTTTTTCATAGCTGTCTAATGTATTATATAGATATATATTTTTGCCACTAACCATTTCCTTTTACGACTATAAATTTTAAGTATTTATTTGATTATAATAAATCATTTAGTGCCATGAAATATTTTTAGTCCGACTAGAGGGCCACTGATAAGGAAGACCATTGTATTTACTTATATTTCATTGTAGGTATTTTTATTTGTTTAAGCACCGGTATTTATACAAATTTTAATTTTTATATTGCTATAATGTATAAAATTAAATATTAAATATACCAATGCTGGTATATATGCAATCCACATATGTATATGTATATAATATTATTGGAACTCGAATTATATTAAGTAAGTGTTACGTATTAAAGTTTATTTTTACCTTTTGGCCGAGCTCAGGTTTCTTTGTTCCCTCTACTACTATTATTCAATATGATCTCTTATTTCTCCTTTAGTTAACTATCAAATTCTTTCATATTTAATATTTAACAATTTTTTGTAGCAGGTTACAATGTGAAATGGTTAATTATTTTAAATAAAAAAAATTAAAGGTACTCTAGAGGAAGAAATTTTGAAAATTAGGCATTTAAGCCCAGAGAATTAAAATCAATAAGAATAAGACCTTCATAATATTAAAAACTGGTTAATTTTACAATGATATAATGGATTTAATCATAAATTGTTAGAGCCCTTTTTGAGAAAATTGCAGAAATGAGTTAAATCACTCGATAAAGTGACATTCCGGTAAGCCGATTTTGACATAAAGGTTGCTATAACAAACATCCCAGGTTTGAAGAAACCAAAAATATGCAAATCACTTTCATATGACTTTTTGTTTTTAAGCTAGAATGATAACAAACATACACAGACCATTTTATGAGACTTGGTTATTTGGACTCGAGGGACCTCAAAACATGTATTTCAGTTGAAAACTTGGATTTGAAAATGTTTACAATTGCAAATATATATATTTCATATATAGGTAAGTGAAAGTAATAATGAGAATATTGGTTGGACCAAATGACAATGTTCCTTTGTGAACTTGTACTGCTACAACTAGGGATAGCAGACATCAGTTTGTTATGGAAGTATTGGTGAAACCAATATTTGACTGAAAATATTTTTAAAAATTTATGTATTTCAGAATATGAAATCTGAAATGAAACAATTAAATTCATTTATATTTCTCTAATAGCGAATTCCTTAAAGGATTAAAAAAAGAAAAAATCTAGAAGAAAAACAAATTTTAATTGCAACATAGGTTTTTCTTATCATACCATACCAACACTATAAAAGAAAATTTATTAATAATTTAAGATACTTGGATATAAACATGGAGGTGTGTGATAGAGAATAAAATACAGTCATTAAAACAGAATAAATAAACTATAAAATATAAAGTGTTAGCAATATTGAAACAAGTTTTTCAGCTTCTTCTTTTTTTATTTATTAATAAGTATATTTTTAAATCCAAATAAACACAAACCTTGGACTTTGACTTTGTAATTGTAGCTGAAGATCCAGGCGACAATTTTGCAGTTGAAGGGCGACTGGATTTTTCATTAGATACAACTGAGGATTTTGGTTGAATCATCGGTTGAACAGGGAGACTTCCTCTTGTTTTTTCTAAAATTTGCTTTACTTGTGTACCGCCAGATCCCTGACAAAAAATATTAATTCAATATTTTGTATACATTTTAAATGACTTAATGGGAATAGTATAAAATATAATTATTTACCCATAAATCAATCATCAATAATGCACTTTATAAACAACCTAAAGAGTATTTCATGCAACATCCCTTAAGTATTTTATTAGCTAAAAGCTTTGAATTAAATTAGTTCTATAAGAAATATAAAAAATAAAAATAAAAATGCTCGCATTTCTTCCTTGGTTCAATGAGACAAAGGAGAACTCATTTTGAACAGACTTTTAAACACAATCACAAGTAGCTAAAAATGAAACAATACTTTCAATGAACATCTGATAGATGTTATGAATTATACCAGAACAATCAGTGGTGCCATAAACGTGTTTCAGAAGAAAATCAAAATTATTCTTTGTTTTTTTCATTTATCCTCGCACACGCATATATATATATATATATATATATATATATATATATATATATATATATAATATATATATATATATATATATATATATATACAAGACATATATAGGGCTCACTGGAGGGAGATGGACTATCACCGATGTTGTTCAACTAGAACTGGAAAAGGTGATAAGAACACCACAGCGAAATGGAGGGGTCTACGTCGGAATATATTATAAAATCCTTGGATATGCAGATGATATAGCTGTCCTTGGAAGTAATCAAGAGGATATTGAGAAACTCGCTAAGAGTCTGATAAGAGAAGCAGAGCAGATCAGCTTGCAAGTAAATGAGAAGACAAAAACAAATATATGGTAATAAACCGAAAATTCCACATTGATAACAGTATCTGCGTAGAAGGGAAATCATTTCTGAGAGTAGAAAAATTCAAATACCTCGGCTCCACAATAACCTCAATGAATGACCAATGGGCAAAAACTAGTGCAAACAGAGGTTTCTTCTCCCTTTTAAAGGTATGAAACCCTGAAAAATCTCAGATTAAGGGTGTACAACGTTGTGATAAATCCAGTTCTAATATATGGCTGTGAGACCTGGACACTGACCAGCAATCTAGAAAAAAGTGCTGAAAGATTTGAGAGACAAATCCCCTGCGCGATAACCGCAGCGATCTGGGAACAGAGTACTAACACATAGGGTAGAAAGACCAATAAAGAACTGCTTACAGAAACTGGTTAATCAATATCCCATGATATGGAGGCAGAAGGAGGTTAAGTTGGGCAAGGCATGTAACTCATAGCAATCCATCTGGAAGCCTCGATGTAACAATGAATGCCTCAATATAAGGCAAAAGACCACCTGGAAGGCCAAAAAGCAGATGGATATATAGAATCAACAAAGATGCAATAGAGCTGTGTACAGATAAATGGAAAGAAGTAGCGCAAGACAGGCAGAGCTGGACCAGGCTTGTTAAGGCGACAGAAGATCTACATGGTCTGTAATGACAACAGAAAAAAAAATTATATATATATATATATATATATATATATATATATATATATATATATATGGTATATATATTGTAATATACACCTTTATTGGAAGTTGGTAAAGATAGTTTAGTAAATTGATGTTGAACAGTTAAAAGGCAAGCTAATCTAGTTTTACTAGTACAGAGAAAAGAAAATAGCTGCTCTGTAGTTTCCCCAGAAAGGAAAATCCCAAAGAGGAGAGGGGACAAAGGATTTTGTTTTGACAAGCAGTTGTTGTTTGACTGCAGTGAAGAGAAGATAGGAGAAGGGATCCTAGACCAGTGGGCAAAACCCAGTAATAGTATTACCATCTTGGAAGTTATTTGACAGTCTCTAGTGGTTTGGAATTACAAGATAGGATCTCCCAGGGAGCTTGAGTTGAGTAGAAGTAAGTGTCACCATTTTGGAAGATGTGTTTGGCAGAACATAGGAAAATGTTAGAAGACAGATGAATTTAGTGCACCAAAGGAAGAAACAGTATATATAGAAAAAAGGTTAGCTTGCCTATTTTAAAATCAGCATATCTTAATTTTAAAACTAGTGTTTAATTTTAGTATAAATAGTGTAAATAATAATAGTTTGTCTGAGTGTTTAGATCAGATTGTCAGTAACCCACCCATACCTGTAAAAAAATAATTATAAATGTCAATTTAATATATCAATACTCTTATAACTTTGTTTATTAATTAATAACCTCTTATTTATTTAGGAAGTGTCCCAACAGTATAAAGTGATCTTCCATGAGGTTATATTAGTTTAAAATATAAGAAAGAGATGTTACATTTTGGCGTCCAACGTGGGGCCTTATTCTTTAAAAATTAGGTCACGGCAATCAGATCACAGCTCACATAAACAATTTGTTTTAATTTTATAGTTTTTATTAATAATTTTTGAGTAATATGGAGAATAACCAGAGAGAGATGATGGAAGGTAGAGATCTTAATAATATGATCCTTGGGAATTCTAATGTGGATTTTGTTATAGAAAATAAGACGGAGTAAGTTATACAAAGCCTACTTGATGAAAATAGACAATGTGAAAACTTTAACAGCAGTTGCACGGGAAGTGAAAGTTTGTCGTCATTAAATGTAGTTCATGAGATTTAGTGAAAATAGTGTGGTGGATGAAAAAATAAATATCAGTAGTAGCAACAATTTGAATTTTACTGATATTAATAATATGTTTCAACAAGTAATGCCAATGCTTCATAATTTATACAAAAATTCGGCTAATTTAAACAAAAAGTTAGAATCTAATAATAAATAGGAAATTTTGAAACATGGTTGTAATAAAGTTTTTTTTTTTTTATTAGTTGAAAATTGATACATTCTGCCACATTGGAGGACATTAATATTAGGGCTACATTAAATACATACAAATGATAACTAATATAGTGATAAAAGAAAAATAGTTGTAGAAAGTAAAATATGAAAATTAACATACATATGTAAAAAAAAGAATTAGACAGAAACTAAATGAAATTAAAACAGATAAAACACATTCACACCTATATACAATATTTAATCACCTAGAAACCCAAGCTGTAACAGTTATTGTAAATATAACTGAAGTTCAAGAAACTACAGAGCAGCTAATTTTTTTCTCCCTAAACTGGTGAAACTAGATTAGCTTGCCTTTTAAATGTTCAACATTAATTTACTAAACTATTTTTATCAACTTCCAATAAAGGTGTATATCAAAATTCTTCTTAAATCGGCGAAATTTTGAGAGTCCCGTTTGCTGACACGTCTCCCACGCATACTCTATTGGGTTTTATAACCGGACCTCTGGGTGGCTAAGCCATAACCTCGATCTCTTCTTGTTGGAGGTAAATTTGCACCTGCTGAACATGAGGTTCAGCATTGTCATGCATTAAAATGCATTTTAGAGTCTTTTGCACCTATCTGGAGACCTTAGACTGAATAGGGACCCGCCAGTGAATAATATATGGTTGCAGTGTATGTAGGTCTTCCTGAGCAAATCTCAAGGGCTGAACTCACTGCTCCCTGGAAAGCAGAGGACCAATTTCTGGAGAAAGGGATATCAATCCATACTCATTAAGTTGTCTTCTTACTGTTTGGTCTGAAATGTGTATGCTCCTGAACTACTACAGGAGACAAAGCAGGCTTTTTTTCTGTAGAATAGTGATCTCAAAGATCGTCAATTTGTAAAATTCTATTGTCACGCTGGGAAGTTGAATTGGATGGCCTTGCCCCCTTTTTCTGGTATGCCCTTCAGTTTCATGATACCAAATAATTGCTTTAGAAATTAAGTATTATGACCATTAAAGTCTCTGAGCAATCTTTTTGTACATATTTAAAACTGACGTAGAACTGTGAGCAAGTGTCCGCAAAATGTGCTTAAGTTATTTTTTTAATCAAAAGGCGTGATCAATGTTTACAGTTTAAGGATGCAATTGATAAAGGATTACAGTAATTCCTTTCTGGTACCAAGGTTTCGGTATAAGTTTTCATTATAAAACTATAATGCTCATAAATAATAAATTATAGCAAAATTTGTAGGTGAGGCTTTAATTTTGTCTGGCAGTGTATGTATATATGTGTGTGTGTCTGTATATATATACATTTATTATTTATGTTTATGTCTAATTTTCTTTCTTCATTTCTTAAAGTGTATATTTATGCTGTTCTACCATCCCCACATATATTATTACAGTAATGCTCGAAATCGGTTTTGTAACAAATGTAAGCACCTGTCATGCTCAAATACCATGAATGGGGTACCATTGGATTTAGAATTTCACAGAGGGTTAGGGAATCGTATTCTCCACTAATTGTATTCTGTTTTTGTTTTTCTTTCTAAAATAAATAAAGTCGATACAAACATTTTGCTAGGCTTCAATACTGGAACGGTAGTAAGTCTATTGATCGATACAGGACAAATTGGGCTTTGAAGATTTTGATGCTTACCGCAACATCACGGGGTTCCTTCAGAACCCCGTTTTTTTAGCCTATTTCGGGTCCTGCTTTTTTAAGCCCAAAAATGTACTATTTTCGAGATAGCATAGGGTTCGCATCCACACAACCTTACGCTCATTGTAGTACTGTCATTGAATACATGTCTCATTTCGTCGACTTGAGGCCTCTATGATCGCGAGAGAAGGAGTTTATATTATTTATCGATGGTGTTTTTGATCGGCAAGCCATATCATCGTTAATTCTTCACCAAATCCCAAGATTGAGCCACCAATTTTGAAGGCTTCCTTCTCCTTCAGGCGGGCAAATAGTCCAATCACCCGAAAATTCAGGCAAACAAGTTATGAAAGAAAAGAAACTTTATTTGCGAATAACTAAAAAATTACACACTTTTCCCTTGGTTATGCCTATATAAAAGATTACTAAATTCCCTACAAAAGGAAAAAAAAATCATCGAAATCGGACAATTTTTAGCAAAGATACAGCTTATTGAAATTTGTAAACATGTTGGTTCCAAACATTAATGAAGTTTTAAATTAATTTTTGTTGCTTTGTCGATTATATTTATGATAAAGTAACAATTGATTTCTTTATCTTATGATACGTTGCATTATTTTATATTCTTATTAATTTGGCATTTGATCACTTAACAATATGCTGTGCGAATTTATCATACGAGCCTACTAGTTATATTTAGTTTTAAATGTTTTGTTCATACTTTTAAGTGTTTTGTTTGTAGTTTTAAGTGTTTGTACATAGTTTTATCTGTTTTATATATAGCTTGTTCACTGAAGGTTTTCTTTACTTTCCTGTTTGTTTTTAATTTTATTTATTGTTTCAAATTTTTAGGCCAGAATCACTCTTTCTTTTCTTTTTGTACAATTTTGTTATTCTAAAGGGACTTTGTCCCAGAATAAAGTTATTTTTCTATCTATCTATCTTTCCACCTACCTATCTATATGTATGTATATATATATACACATACACATACTCATGCACATACACCATTACTTAATTTAATGTAACTAAGCAAACTGTTTTAGTATTAAAAATAATTTTACTTTAATTTCTATTCATTTTAACATATCATTCAATGATAATAACAAATTTTAACAAAATTAAAATAACTTACTTTGATATTTTCACAAGCTCTTATCATATTGGTGAATCCAAGGTGTAACATGAATCCTAAAACGGCTTCACAAGCATTTTTTCTCACATCTGCATTCCTATCTTCCAAGTTAGAATAAAGAGTAGGCAAACAAGCTGTTAATTCTTCTTTTTGAATTGTTTTAGGAGGAACTACAGATAACAATAAATAAATAAGTTGATAGATTTTATATTGTTTCAAAAGACTCATAAAATGTAATGCATCTAATGTAAAATATATAATTTTGTGACTTATAATTTTTTAATAAACATCACAAATCAATATAAAAATAAATCCATTAAAAAAGTATATATAAAACTGAATAGACTAAAAATGTGACTAGATAGATAATGAGAATTCTTATAGAACTTCTTACTGTTTGGTAATTTATCAGCCAGCCAAGTCCACAATTCAGATCTCACTGTAGGAGATCCTGTTTTAAGCGCTTCTGCAATGATTTCACCTTCGAAAAATTCTTTAAATCCGCATACTTCACCCCATGTATTTAAGCATGGTATTACAGCAGACCGAATCCATGTCTAAAATAAAAGAATATCAGTTAGTAAATAAAGCCAATGCCATTCTGCTAATAAAAAGAATTTGTAAACAGGCAAAAATTGCAACAAAAAAAAAATATATATATATGCCATTATAGTGATAACTAGTATCATTAATCAATTAAAAACAGCGGTCATTTTTTCATAAATTATTTTATTCTGCTTTCTTAGTCACACAAAAGGGTACTGTTGAGCAACGCGGCTCTATGGACTGCTATCTGCAGTTATCTTGTTATTTAAAGAGTTGTTGTTATTATTATATTTCTTATTATTAAATAGTTATAACCTGAACACTGATAATTGTTATAAGGCACTGATAATCCCTATCTTCATATGAAATGTAGACTCTCGTATAATAAGAAATATAAATAACAACAACAACACTTTAAATAACAAGATAACTGCAGATAGCAGCCCATAGAGGCAAGTCGCTCACAAGTACCCACAAAAGAATATTAAAAAATAAAGGGATTAGAAAAAGCTTTTTTTGTTTAATTTAAAATGTATAACAAAGCTGAATGATGAAAGAAAATTACTATTATCCTACTTTTGGTAACAACTTCCACTACTGGTGGTAACAAAACTTCTTATAGAAGCTGGTCACTCAATATCTCATGTTATGAAAGGAAAGAAGTGAAGATGAGGAAGAATCTTGGAGAAATCCATCAAGAAGCTTCTACACAATAATGAGGAGACATGTGTAAAACAAAAAAACAGATGTATAGATCAAATTAACAAAGATGTTGCATGCAGATAACTGAAAAACCCAAGATAGACAGAAATGGAGAAAGCTGGTTAAGGATGCAAAAGATCTACATGGTCTGTAAAACCAATAGGAAAAAATATATAAAGTTGTTAAAACAAAAAAAATTCAATATAATGCTCCCAGAGATGTATCCTAAAACCCACCTCAATGAATAAATACTAAGATCAAGCAGGATGGTCATCATATTCACTCAACAAAAAGAGGTTATGAACATCCTGATTTAGAGTGGAAAATGTAATATCAATGAGAGAACAAGCAGCCAGACCATATATAAATCTTTTGAAACAAATTCAAGGACAGAGATAAAAATGGGCACATCGAAAATAAGTTAAACAATTAATAAGGAAACATTGTAAATCCAACACTAGAATAAGCACAATGAACGCCTGTGGTCTGCTCAGAAGAGATAGAGAGAAGAATTTTTTAAGACAGTTAGAGAAGTATCTACTATTATTTTTAAATTTAAGCATACATTTTTACACCATAACTTCATTATAAAAAAACATGATACATATTACCAAAAATAAATACAATATCAAAAACAAAATTGTTACGAAAGAATAAGAAATGAAAAAATATCCCTCTTCATAGCAGGCGAGAATTAAACATCAGCTGCTATAACTGTCCCCCACAAACCTGACTTTACTCAAGTGGCTACGTTAAGGGATTTATAGAAAAAAAATGAAAAGAAATATACAATGTAAAATATACACCACACTGAATATGAATTCTGTTGGACAGAATTTCAATGATAACAGATTAGTTTCAAAACTTTATTGAAAGGGCAGGGCAATTAAAATAATCAATATAACCGAAAAGGTTGATAAAATCACAACAGAAAGTAAAAACTCCAAAAGTCATGATTATTTAAAAAAATTATCAATGAAATAACCTGGCCTTGCACACAATGATAAAATACTTTCAGATGCAAAAGATGATGTTTTCAAATTTTCAAAAGTGAATGTACCTATGATTAAAAACAACTAAAAATATGTACTTTTAAAATTAACTTAAATAATTACTTTTGGGTCCCCGATTGCTTTCATCAATGCTGGGAGAAAAATTCGAACATACTGCTTACATGATGGGCCCATGGCAGGAGCTAGTGACTCGACAAGTGCAATGGCACTAGCAGATATTTTAGTATTACTATCGGAAATTCTAGCTGCAATAACAGGAGCTGCTTCACCAAGGTTACTAGTTATTGACTGAGCAGAATTAATAAAACCTTGTAATTTTGCCACCGCTTCAGCTCGTACCTGAAAACATACCATGCCATGAATAATTAATCTACAATTATTAAATCTACATAAATAGGACAGCTCTAAGACATAAAACAGCTTTCATGAGAAATACAACTAATAAAACATATGTCTAAACTAGTTCTGCTAATAATAATAATAGTAAAAGGCTTAGCGAACCCGAAGGTTCGATGCCGACACCACCAATCGCTTATTACACACCTCTCTCCACCGTTCGCCGTCCAAACCTAGTCCCTTCAGATCGGCTTTAATGCAATCTTCCCACCTTTGCTTCGGTCTACCCCTCGGACGCTTACCATTCGGCACAGCAAATATTAGTCTTTTAGGAATTCTCTCGTTACTAAGCCCAACAACTTTACAAGCCCATTTGATTCGCCGCAACGAAATTACCTCAATTATATTACCCGGATACAGCTCACGCAATTCGGCGTTGTGTAACCGTCTGAACTCTCCAGTTAACTCATCCTTCTTCGGTCCGAATATTCTACACAATATTTTATTTTCAAAAACCTTAAGACGCTGCTCATCCCTTAATGTAAGCGGCAAAGTTTCACATCCATAAAGAACTGTAGGCAAGATTATTGTTTTATAGATTATAATTTTTAAGTTCCGGGACAAGAGGCGCGAACTGAGTAGTTTTGTCACAGAAAAATAACAAGCATTTCCCGCCTTCAGTCTAACCTTAATCTCTTCTTCAATTTCGTATTTTCTAGTTATCGTAGAACCTAGATACCTAAATTTATCTACCTGTTCAAACATATTACCATCTATATTGATATCACCAGTAGTATCGCCATTTTTGCAGCTAACCATATATTTTGTTTTATCTACGTTTACTTCGAGTCCTAGTTTTTTACCGGCTTTCATTAACGTTGTCGTATTTAGTTTTATAGTTTCAACGTCTTTGCTTAACAGTACCAGATCATCAGCATAGCCCAGCACGGATGTTGTCCCACCCAGATCCAACCCTTTCTCGGTGCGCATTACCTCCCTAATGGCATGTTCTAATGCCAAATTGAACAGTACAGGCGAAAGGGAATCCCCCTGTTTTAAACCCGAGCGAACCTCAAATTTTTCCGACAGATTATTACCGATTCTAACTTTATTGAGTGTCTCCGTCAAGCACATCCTGACTAGATTTACTAGTTTTTTTGGAATCCCCTGCTCGATTAGAATATTATACAATTTCTGGCGGTCAATAGAGTCGTAAGCCTTTTTAAAATCTATATACAGCTGGTGAACAATACTCCAATTTTTTCTCTAATATTTGCCGTAAAGAAAATATTTTATCAATAGTTGAACGATTCCGTCTAAATCTGCATTGGTAGTCTCCGATAATTTCCTCGGCGTATTCCGTGATTTGACTGGTTAAGATTAAAGTGAATATTTTATAACATACTGGAAACAGTGAAATTCCTCGATAGTTATTACAATCCGTCCTCGGGCCCTTTTTGTGAATCGGAATAAGAATAGATTCTTTCCATTCCTCAGGTAATTTCTCATTCACCCAGATCTTTTTAACCAGCCGATGTATTTTAGAAACTCCAGCTTCCCCGCATGCCTTAATTAGTTCAGTAGGAATATTATCGGTTCCCGCTGCTTTATAAGATTTTAATTTTCCGATAGCTACTTCAACTTCCTCTTTACTAGGTCCTTCTATCAACGGTTCAGCACTCTGGTACTCAGAAGGAGGACACAGATCATAATTTCCCGTATTTAAAATATTGTCAAAGTGGTCCTTAAACTTATTCAATATGTCAACCGGACCAGTTACAATATTGTTATTATCATCCCTGATTACAGACGTTACGGGCCCTAAACATTTACGTGATCTGTTTATACCTTTGTACATGTCTCTTACGTTATTTTCGATTCTATTAGTTTCTATTTCAATTATTTTATGTTTAAGATACTCCCTTTTTTTATTTTTGAGAAATTTTGTCGTTTCGTTCTTTGAGGTTCGGAAGTATTCCAGATTGTCTTCGCTAGGATTATTTAGAGCTTTTAATTTAGCGGCTTTTCTTTTTTCGCACATGTTTAAGCAATCTTCATCAAACCACGGTTTGTTATTCTTATTTTCCTTTTTTCCTAGACACGAGTTACCGACCGCTTTAATATTATCTCTGATCTCTATCCATAACTTGTCAATATCCTCGTGGTCCTCGTCAGGAAGCTCTAAAGCTTCAAACCTATTCTTAACATCTAGCTCGAATTGGGTTCTAATTGATGGATTTTTTAATTTTCCCAAAAAACTAGTTCTGCTATAGCTGATATTATGTATCGGTTTCCATTATGGATTTGAACAAGCCATGGAAGGTTGTTCTTTTCAGCCTATTTGAATCTTGCCTAGGTGGTTAGAGATTTTTATTATTTTTATTTATTTATTATTACTTTTTTTTTTATGATGGACCACAAAAAACGATTCTCAACCTTCTCACTCTGGCTATAATAGGTTCAGAAGCTGCTGAATATCTTCCCCTAGTTGGAGTATATCAAAAGGCTAAACCTAGATCAAATAAAATAATACTCCAAAGACCGCAATAAAGCTACCATCCGATAAATATTATATTATTAAATTATTTAGTAAAGTAAAATGATACAACTGCATGCCTTGAAAAAATAAAATAAATCACAATGTTTAGAATTTAAAATTAATTATATTATAAATTATTCATATTTTTATTTATGTATACATATATATTATATATATATATATTATATATATATATATATATATATATATATATATATATATATATATATATATGTATAGGCATTATTTAAATTAAATATTTCCTTAGTTATTGCTTTTGATTCAATTAAAAACGTGGTTCACTTAAAAAGCCACAAAATCTGGATTTGCTACTTTTCTACTGAAAACTGGCCCATTGTTTATATGAAATTTTTTGTAGCTCTTTGAGGTCTGCTATTACTCCTATAAACATTTCCCTCTACTTACAGGACACCCTGTATATAGATAGATAGATAAACTCATTACACCCAAACTAACACAGATATTACTTTTAAAAAGACTAAAAACCACGATGTAAATATCCTTTCGATGTTGCAACAAAAAAAAAAAATAAATAAATAAATAAAAGCTCTATGTTTCCTTCTCCTTAAATAAACACTTTTGTAACTAGCAATTTCATTAATAAATAGGAAGCTTTGTATTTACTTAATAGTACATATGTTTCTACATCTTGGAATTAAGGTAACACACATTACTAATTATTTTATAGTAATAAAATTAAGAATTCAATTTTTATAACATTGTGGAATAGTTATGTTCAAAATTACCTTCCAATTCTTATCTCCTAATTCTGCAACCAGCTGGTCAGTGATCTGATTACTAATATCAACCTTCGCTTTACTATCTGAAGCTTTGTTTTTTTCATGAGTGATTTCATTTGCCACTTCATTATTGGATTCTTTTTCTCTATTAGCTTGAGAGTTACCTCGACTGGTTGGTCTCTAAATAGAAAAATAAACAAAATTAAATATAATCATCAGTTACTTTAAATAAGGAAATAAATAAGATTTCAAAGAAAATTAATATTCATTAACAATTAAATCCAGTTACACCATTCTCAACACCCGACCCTCAACAATTTAATGACACATAAATTATAAGAATTAAATGTATAAAATAACCTTGAAGGTTTCCCCCATTTGTGGTTTTTCTGACGTTATATTTTTGAGTGGTTCATTATCACTCTGTAAATGGACAGTACCAATCAAGGCTAGACCAGCATTACGTACTAGTGGATCAGGATGACTAGAAGCCTGTCTCCCACACTCAACAAGAAATGCTGAATCATTCCTAAAAAACATAAAACAATCACTTAAGTGAGGAAAATGATTATTAGCATTAAATAATATGTTCAAACTTATAATGTTGAAGCAGAAAGTAATAATAATAATAATATTGAGCAATCATACTTATAAGTGTCAAAAATAACTATTTTCAGAAATATGTTCTAATTCTTTTGAAATGATCAAAGATAAATAAAAGTAACCTAAATGAATGAAAGATCTGTGACTTAAAAAACTGCTAAGTCTAAAAAAAATTAATTTTATATAAATTCTGAATAATAAACAAAGACTGGTACTTTACAAAAGAAAATTATTAAAACCTTAAAAAATAAAACTAATTGTAAATGAATATTTTCATTATTTCTCTTATCATTTAAAGAAAAAGGATCGTATATTAAAAACAAGTTTACATATACATGTATATACATACCTAGGTAAAGGAAATATTTCAGCAACACTTTTTAAAAGTTCTAATCGGCACAATAAAAGTTCATCAGTATCATGTGCATTTTGGGCATGTAGCAACGACAGTAAAGCCTGTCCAGACTCTTCAACAACATTTAAGTTTGTGATAACCTAAAATAAGCCACATTTAAATAAAAATAGGAACCAATAAATGTTGTATTTGGTTGTCATCTGATAAAACATACTATTCTGACTAAGAATGAATTTTAATAATTAAAAAGGTTGCATTCCTGTTTTATAATGAAAATTAGTTACCTAATTTTTAACACAGAATGCTCAATACTATCTAAAAATAAAATTAACATAATTTCCACCCTAATTTCATTGGATAGATAGTTGACTGTCATATATACATATTGAAGAGAAGTTAATTGGGTGATCAGTCAAAGAAAGAACAAAGTAATTATATTTATTTTTATATGCACCATGGCGACATTTCGGCCCTTCAACAGGGCTTAGAAAAGGCAAGAAAACAGGAACATGAGAAATTAGTGGACAGTGATAATAATATATAGTTAAAAGGTATAGTCTAATAACATAGAAGAGGTGTACATAAAAATTAAATAAAAGAAATAAAAATAAATATAATTTATTTATTATTACTTTGTTCATTCTTTGACTGAACACCCCAATTAACTTCTCTTTTACACTAATTTTATTCAATTTTTTTTATAGAACAATACAAAATTGACTTTTTCTTTTTTTTTTATTTACTAATTGTTTATCAATCCATAGTGGAATGAAAAACCTCGTAAATCCAAAAACCTCATAAGTCAGTTAATAATAATCGGGATGGGCGATATTCATGGATCTCTGTTTAAAGTCACCCAATTAAGATAGTTGTTGCAGATGGAGAAGTCAGGCAGGAGATTCCACCTATCTTGGTAAGGAATTGGTAGTGATGAAGACAAGGAAGAGGCATGGCGACTATCTGATGGCAAGGAATTCCAGAAGACAGTGGATCGGGCAATAAATGAATTTTCAAATGTTAAAGTTCTATGGGAAGGAATATAAAGGTCGGAAACACGGGATCTTGTGTTTTGGGAGTGGACTACAAGTTTGAACTGTAGGAGACAGTAGATGTAGGAAGAATGACGGGAGTTGATCGTTTGGAATAGGTAAGATCCAAGGAAATATTGTTGGTGGAAGGAAGGGAAGAGCCACTTTAATTCATCATAGAGGAAGAACACATAAGACCGCCTCGAAATACCGAAGACAAATCTTAAGGAGTTCATAAGTCGCTTCAACCTGTCTTTAAATTCCATCGAGATGCCACCATACACCACACAGACATAGTCGAATTGTGGGAAAATAAGAGAGGATACAAGGAGCTTGAGGATAGGTTGTGGGAGTGGTGACGAGAGCGATGAAATAACTTAAGGGCGCCTATTGACCAATTATGTAATTTTTTTTTTTCTTCTTACAAATCTGAAGTTGTGTTTATAATATTCATATTCTTCAAGTGTTATTTTCATTAATAAATATAGAAATAAGAAAATTCATTACAAATTAAATCACAGGAATTACATAGTTAAGATTAGAAAGTTTATTTAATTAATTCAAGTTCCATTTAAAATAATATTAATAGTACAGTTTGTGATGAAAAATAAAATAGAAAAAAAAAATTAGTTCGTAAAATAATTGTTAGTTTTTTTTATTAACTCGAAGATGGTTAAATATAAAATTAAGTATTTAGTATTAGTTTATAATAAGTCTTAGTTTTAATTATTCATTTTATTTCGGATTGGAATAACCAACAGATGATTGGGAGTAAAAACAAAAGATAGTTTAGAGAGAGATGGCGGAATGTCGCGAGTGTTGAGGGACGCTAAGTATTTTTGATGTGTGAAATACTTTAGTTTTACGGTGTACACCCGATTTTTTTTCCTATCCATGAGGGATTAGGGAAAAAGCCATTGTTAACCCAGTAAGAAGGTTCGATAGGTTATGAGGTTAATTAACATATGTTTTTAAACCCATAGGTTCCGAGTTCGTAGCTCACTCCACGTCCTAATCTTTTTTTTAAATTAAATTTATTTATTTATTTTTATTTTTGCGGTTTTCGCAATTTTCCAAATTCAACAAATTAAATAGAGTGGATTAGAGTGCTACCATTGGGTAGTTACTCAGCAAGTGTATTCATGTCATTATATCAATTATGTCCAAATTTACTTGATGTATTTATGTAATACAGTTGTAAATGTCATAAAGAAATAAAAGAAAAAAAAATAGAGTGGTACTCGTTAGACAGTTATTAATATTTAATTGACTCTTGATTATTATATTATTTATTTATGTTTTTTTGCGAACCCTACCGTCTCCACTGAGCATCTGGCATGTTTGTTGCGGAAACAATTATTCGAAATTAAAGACAGAGACAAGTTATGATAAATATTAATGTACTGTTTTTCTCTTTTTTTTTGTGTTTGTTTTCAGGGTTTAGTTAATACTAATAATGTAATAAGGTACTGTAAAACCTTATTCAAGGTATCAGGGAAAATTGATTGAAACAAAGTAAGAAAGTTCTATGGCTGGTAGTGTAACTAACATATGGTTTAAAATTATAATGTTCCGAGTTCGGAGCTTGCTTTATTTCCTAAATTTTTTATTTTAATTCACTATATTTATTTTTTTTATAAAATATAGTTTTCGTCATTTACCATAAACAACCAAATAAAATAGCATGGTACCTGTCATATAATGAATACAACTTTATACTCCTTTATTTCTTTTTTTATAAAACCGCCCGTCTCCACAAAGCATCCGGTACACTGTTACAGAACAATTATAAGATACCCAAGACAAGTCATTAAAATTGAAGACCGTAACAATATATAATCTATGGAGAAAAAAAATGATATTGGATAATTAATATTATAATTGAGTGTATGAAGAACAATATATCAGCCAATTACCTCTTTAATCCTGTTATATGCAGCTAATCTATTTTCAGGGTTCATATCCAAAGCACCATCATACACTTCTGGTGGAAATAATGATTTTGCTTCAGTTAACGCATCTTCTCGATCAAGAGGCTTAATCTGAATTTCATTGCCCTTCTTAAGAGGCTGATTTTTTCCTAAATAATTAAGGCACCAAAACATCATTTGTGAAACAATATAGTTATATAGCTCATAAAAAACATACAAGATTAATTAAATTACCTGTTCCTATTTTATTGACTTTAGCTTTTCCAGAACTTGGTTTTTCTACTTTAGCCTCCTCAGTATTAGTTTTTGGCACTTTATTCACTTTCTGAGTAGGTTGTTTTACTAATATTTCAGCTTTGTCGCAACATTCCTTGATCTGAAATGACAGTTGTGTTACGGTTTACAAAAAAAAATAAAAAATTATAACAACAAATAAAATAAATTGAAGCCTAATTGAACATTCTTAACCTTTTTAAGCATTTGTGGATCAATTTCAACCAAAAATGGTCCAATGGTCTTCTCACCTACAACTTTCATAGCTGTACCTAAGGCGAGGGCAGAATTGTCACGGACAGCAGGATCTGTAATAAAATGAAGTATTTTAACAACTTTAATGAAATTAGTAACTATAAATATCATCTTCTATTTATAACTACTCATAAATATAGTTACCTTGATCCCGGAGTCCATTGGTCAAACCTTTACAAAGTGTTTTTAACAATTTTTTGGTTAAGATATTAGGCGTTGACTTGGAAAAACAACGACTGAGAAATCCACTGATTTCTGATTTGACACTGGGATTTTTGTTATCTAAGTTAGTGACAATATCTTCTTGGATGGCTTCCAAACTAGTCTAGACATTACAGTTATCTGAATTAGCATTTATAATAAAAAAAAAGAAAATTCATAATTAAATATCCATTCATACCGTTAAATAAACAGCATCAACTGCATCTCTAAGAGCTGTAACAATGTTTTGTTTCTTTTCCTTAAATTTCTCGAAGAGTGCAGGTATAATAAAACCAACATATTGATGAAATTTCTTCTTGAGACCATTGGCTATACCAGTAACACATTTAATAGCAATCCCAACAACAACAACATTAGAATCTTTAGTTATTACCTTAAAAAAATTAAAACAAATTCAGACTAATATATAAAAACTTATCTGAGCAAAAATTCAACACAAAATATCATACAATAAATTTTTAAAAAATCTTGAAATAACAAAAAAACCTACAATAAATAAAAATTAATATTTTCAAATTGAGTCACTCACTAAAAGCTTATATAAGGTTTAGGGAATTTTAAAATACTTCCATGATTTCATTCATTATTATTTATCAGTAATCCACAATATGCCTAACATTTTGAGACATCTTCAGAACAACTATTATTTGACTACAACTACTTAATTGATGAATATAAACTTAGTCAATGAATGTCAAATGAAAAATCAGTGAATATACAAAGATAATTAAAACATCATCTCAATGAAATATTAATCCCTAGCTACATTAACCTTTTCGCTGCTGTGAGTGACAAGCTTTACGTCTACCACAGTGCTAACTCTACTAATTCTACAAAAAAAATCTCCATGCTATCTGTAGGCTCTACTTAGAAGCTTTATTTCACTAGGAAATCAGTAGAATGTAGCAAGGTTGCGGCGACTATCCTTGATATTAGCAAATGAAAGGAAAAGCAGTGAAACCTCTATAGCCGACGTTAGCACTGAGGGCAGGAGTAACTTCTATAGCTGTCATTAGCAACAGGAGCACATTCAATTGCGGTCGCAATAGCCGTTGTTAGCAGCTAAAGGGTTAAAATACATATCTTGACTTTTAGCCCAGACATTTTCTTTTTAATGGACTAGTTTCATCATTGAACTATGGTACCCACTATTCATATATCTATTATAATTTATTGCCTTCAGCCTTTTTTTATTATATTTATTATCTATTAAATTATCAGTTTGTTTCATTAATATTTCTTTAACATGTGCTTGTTATTTTTAATTATTTGATTTTTATTCCATTTATATCTCCATAATGAGTGGTTTTGGTATCATTTATAACATTAATGGTTTCATCGCAATTTTTTGTTATAAAGATAACTTTTAATATTTTTTTTATTTCATTTTCTAGTATTTTGAGCTTGTCAAAATCTAATTTGTGACACTATGTTAATTAGTGGAATGCAAATACTGTACTACTGCTGTTTTTCATGTTTTTACAATTTTGTTTGTCTTTGATGATTCTTGTTTTTTACATTGTTGACGTTTTGCCTATTTATAAAAACCAAACAATTAAATCTATATACTAGGTTTTGTTTTTTCCAAGCTGTCGATTTTTATTGTATGGTTTACAATTTTATTATTATTCTACTGATCAAATTTTAAATCAATATAGTCTTATAATTGGGACATTTATTTTGTTTTCCGTACGTTTCGGATATTAACGGAATGTAATTTAATTTTTAAAATCTGCTCTGTTGTAGTTTATTGCACGAGTATTATTTTGTATAGTTATCATCATTGGATTCATTATTCAACAATTCTTTATTTTTGATAAATTTTGTAATAAACTTTTGTTTTCTTTTCAAATGTAAAGTTTCTTAGTAATTGTTTACCATGTACTTGTTTGTTTCTTTTAATATTGCTTAATTTTTTTTAAATTTTAATTTTTTTATATAAAATTTTGTTGATTTATATTTTGGGATACAATTTTTTAATTAATATATTATATATTTCATGTTTAGCGATTTTTATGTATTTTTGATCGGTGATTTTCAAAATTATGGAAGTCTTTTAAAATGTCTAGGACCTTACATATATTTAAAAAACAAAAACAAAATTCAAATAAGAAAATAGTTGAAACCTTTTTTAATGTTCTCAACATTTCACCATAATCTGCAGGCTCAAGCTTTGGTGTTGCAGCAAGCTGTTTTTCAAATTCTTCAAGGACTTCTTTTCTATCAGACCATTTTTTGGATTCAATTTTGGTATAGAACTCTTTATTAAGCTGACTTAAAATATCAACAGGTTCAAGTAGATCATATGGGTCTGTTTCATCAACAGCACATTCTTCATCTTCTGTTTCCGCAACATCTTATAAAAGATAATACAAAAGAAAAAGTATAATAATCGACATAAAATTGTCTACAAAAGACCGAGAAAGCAAACTATAATCAAATCACACAAGATAAATACGCAAAAACTGTATAAACCGAAACTTCTTACCTCCATCAATGCCATCTGCACCAGAAACAGCCATTTTTTTAGTCTGCTGAGAACGTAAAAGTCTGCTTGCTTTTGCTGGTGTATTTTTGACTTTTTCATATTCAGTTTCTACTTCTGCCAACTATCAAACAATACAGAGGGTTAATGAAAAAATTATTACCAATAAAATTACTTTCCAAATCCAAATAGGTTGTGAAACTAAAACTTATATTCAACATTTAATACTCAATACAACTATTTCATACCACAAATGAGCAGTATAAAAGATACACAAACACATTGTTTTTATTCAAAAATACATTTGAGCTACTCAAAAAATAATCTTAACTTATTAAGGAAAAAATTTAGAAATTCTTTGACTATCATATATGAAATAAAAAAAAAGAAGAAACAATTTTTTTTTATATTTCCTAAAATTTCTTACTGCAACTTTTATTATATATAATACAAATATGTATATTTTTTATTTATAAACTTAATAACAGTAAGGTTAATTAAATGTTGGATAAATTTAATTTAAAATTTGGACTTCAAACAACTTATTAGAAAGTATGAACTTTTTTTATATTAAAATGAAAGAAGACTATCTTAAAACCTAAAATAAAATAAAAAATGAATTATCAAGGAAATATTAAAAGAAATAAGTCTTATAGACAGTTCAGAAATTTACATCAATGTTAAAAATACTAACCTGTGCTGGTTTCAGTATTGCTGTAAGCTGTGGTTTAATGACTGGTCCTAACCAGTGATAAACTACACTAACTAGTATCTTGGTTTCCGATCGAACATTACCATCCCTATCTTCCAGAAGGCTTGGTACACGTTTCATCAATTTACTTACATTAATAATTTTACATCCAAATTCTCTAAAAACAAAACAGAAGATTATCAAGTGATTAAATTTATAAAAAAAAAAGTAATTTAGAAAAAAAAATACTAGAATGTCCTACTCAAGATACCAGTTGATGCATCACAAAAAATGAAAGAATGATGAATAGTGGCAAAATATTTACAATACAAAGGGACTTATGCAATAATAATGATAAGAACATCCGCTAATGCAATGTCAATGATACTGTGCAGAAAGGGCCAATCTGAATTTGACATTTATGTTTTTAATATTTATCCCACTATTATGGCACAGTTTTTCACTTGTTATTATGTACAATCGACCTTAAATGTAAGTTACCACTTGCGATAGGTATGAAGAATACTATGAGAGGATACAAAATAACAGAAAGAATAACTAAATAATTACATGGAATAAGTATAGACCAAACATTTTTTCTAAGTAGTGTGAAAAGTTTAAAAAACAGTACACAATAATTTAAAAAAAAAACACTATAATTTTTTTATAAACAATATTTCATAGTGAACTGGAGGGAAATCAATTGAAACAATATAAAATTTAATTCAATCATTCTTGATCTTTAGTACCAAAAAAATCTTTAAAAAAACATAACATAAATTTTCAGATAGAATTAGAAAGTTAATAACGGTAATGTTAATTAAATTTAGGATAAATTTACAGAATAGAAATTATATTGAAGAAATTCAGAAGAAAAGTCAAATGGAAAGTATTTAAATAACAGATATATGTTTAAAAAAAAGGTGTAGTTGATCAATCAGATCGTATTATAAATCTTACTTCAAAGACTGAGCGAGAACATGAACACATGCAGCAGCAACTTTTGGATTTTTAGATTCAGTTCCTTTAATTAATTCTTCATAAACTATTTCATATTTCTCTATTTCAATATACATTAAAATTATCTGAACTGCTAACTCCCTAGTCCGGGCTTTTGGAGCAGCTAAACATTTTTGAATTATTCCAGAAACTACATCTCCAGTTGTACTAAAACAGATTAAATATGCAAATCAGTGTCATAATAGAAAACAATAATTATTTTTTTAAAGGAGTACCAACTATGAACCTATATTTATATGCATACCTACTCCTAACATAATCATTATAATACGTCAGTAAATAAGATGTTATGATATTTTATAATTAGGCTTAGAGGCAAGCAAAATAATTCAAAATTCAACAAATATCAACTTACCGTCCAGCATTACCACAGTTCTCAACAAATATTAGAACTGCTTCTAACCCTTTTTCTTGGCAAAGAGCGTGACTATCAACCACAAACTTTTTAACTAATCCAGTATATTTATTCCATTCAGGGGATTTTTCATCTTCAATTTGTTGGAAATGTTTGGCAGCACCTTCATATCCTACAAGCCTAGCTTTCCACACCTAAATTTAAAAATAGGACCACTTTAAATTGAATTTTCAATATAACATTAATTAATATAAATGAGTGATATCATGAGTGTGTGTAGCTAGTAAGTAGTGTAGTTAGTACCCACCCACCGACATTGAAAAGGTGTCCCTTAACCTAACAAGGATTGTGTATTTGTGAATAAAAAAAAAAAATCTAAAATTAAAAAAAAATCATAAACATTTATAACAAACTATTTTTTCAGATAAAAAATTTTTTGGAGCCAAGCCATTTTACGTTTATTTTTAATACTTAAGTTTAAAAAAAAATTATGAAAAATACTCCAGAAAAATACACTATATAATTGTTTTAAGTTACAGCATATTTAGTGAGGACAATGATAAGATAGAAATGTATGGGAAGGCTTTATAAAGTATAGAGGAAATAGGTAGGATAGCACCATGAAAACAATCAAACTGAGAAAAGTAAAATAAATAGACAAAATTATGATTTGTAGGTAACATTCTGCAGTAATCTAGAAAGAGACAATGAAAAATTATAAAGAATAATAGAACTGAAAGATAATATTAAGTTGTTCCAAATTCAAAAGTTCGATCACAGCTCAATTTTACATCAATGAAGAAACCCCAACCTTATAGAAAAAAAATCTATCACATGATGAAACATCTGAGTATTGGATTTAGAAATTCAAAATTCACACTTAACATTGGAAATATGATAAGATCCATCAAAGATGTATAATGTTTCAATAATTCTTTATGTGGTAGTATTTATTTACCCCAAAGAATAATATTCTAAATATATCTTATAACAATTTTAAAAAAAATTAACTTAAAACTAACAATGCAGTGGAAGACTTTAGATTTCTTATTAGTAGCCAAGCAACATACTATTGTACCACTTAATACCCTTTATTGTTCCCATAAATATATTGGGTTGTTCGGAAAAGAATGCAGGATTTTGAGTTTTCTTTAAAATACCCCTCTACATAACAAACTGTTTATGTTTATGATTATTCATTTGCATTAATGGCAACACTTATTAATCCTCTTCCAAACAATAATGTTTGTTTACCTCTGTAGCACTTCACTGCTTAGAAGTAATTCAGCCTTTACTAAAGTGTCAACATGTGATTTTTGTTATACGAGTTTAAACTCCCCCGGAATGGGATCCAGACGGCCAGAAACATCAATCAAGTCTGAGGGGAGAGCAGCATTAATGATTGCACTGTTCAACAGTGGTTCAAAAAATTTCGAGAGGGAGACTTCAGCCTTGAAGACAAAGAAGGTCATGGAAGGACTTCCTCTCTTGATCACGATGTTCTGTGGGCTTTGGTGAAAGAAAACCCCAGAACAACTGTTCGAGAACTTGTAAGGAAACTTAACCTTAGAAAATCGACAGTCGATGTACTCAAGACGATTGGAAAGGTAAAAAAATTTGAAAGTTGGGTCCTAAACACTTTAAACAACTATAAAAAAACAGCATTATGAAGTTTGTGCTGCACTTTTTTGTCGAAACAAAAATGACCCTTTTCTGTCCAAAATTGTTACTTCTGATGAAAATTGGATACTTTACAATAATAGTAGACATTCTGGACATTGGCTCAACAAAGCAGAAGGAGCAGAAAATTTTTCAAAGTCCTTAACTCATCAAAAAAAGGTGATGGTTACTGTTTGGTGGGCTTCATTTGGTTGTATACACTACAGCTTGTTAAATCCTGGAGAAATCATCTATGATGAATCATATTGTAACCAAATTAATGCAATGCATCAGAAATTGTCAATAATGAAGCCATCTTTGGTCAATCGGAAGGGACCAATTTTGTTGCATGACAACGCCCGGCCACATGTCTCACATATGACGTCACAAAAACTTGGATATGAAACTCTGCCACATCCGTCCTACTCCCTGGTACACTCCCCTATGGATTATCATGTTTTTAGAAACCTGGACCACTACTTACGTGAAAAAAAATTTAAGGAATTAGAAAATGCGTTTTTGGAGTTTATCATTTCAAACAATGGGAAATTCTATTCCGAGAGAATGTAAAAGTTGCCAACATTATGGCAGAAATGTATTGGTAGTAGTGGAGACTATTTCAACTAAATAAAACAGTTGTAAATCTTTATTTTTCTTTTTAAACCAAAATCCTACATTATTTTCCGGATGACCCAATACAATCCTTAAGCTTGTAGAAATAATAGAACAATAAACAAACTAGTTTTAATGACAAGACTTGCACATATAAATCTAATGCACAACCTCAATCTAATGCAGAAATCCTATATACAAAAAATGGATTGTAGAAAAAAAAATGTTTACCCACAGCTATAGATCAAAGGCCTAAGATGACCAGCCTAAGAATGAGGGATAGTTTTCAATTTTATGTTTCTATTTCACATTTAAGCTGCATAAAACTTGATCTTAAGGAGACTATTCTTGTTATTTGCATGGGCAAAACTCTAAGCTCAGTGCTGAGTTTATAGATGGCATCGTAAATTCTGTCTCTAAACTTATCGATAAAAATTGTCTCTTTATTCATTAATTAACACCAAAGGTTTTGGGTTGTAGGGTCAGATAGATGTAACATCATTATTACTTTATTTTTTGTATTTTTCAATTATGAAAATTAAAATTATGGAACATTTACCCATCATTTATTATTGGCCTCTAGCTCGAAGTTATCACCATTTGATCCATAGTTCATTTTTATCAATTATAATTATTACATGGATAAGTTCTTGAACTCAACACATATTGGAATAACCATTTGGAAATGGTTTCTTTCATTTTATTTTATTTTAATTCAATAATTATGATTAAATTTAATAATGTATCTTGTACTAATCTTAGGTTTGTTATCAAATAAAAGACTAACTTCAAAGTTATTAGAATTGCACTTGGAAAAAGAAAATATATTTTCATATATAAAATTAACATACCTTGTGAACACAAGCATCTTCAACTGTTAATTTGGTGTAGTCTTCTTCATCCATTGTAAATCGAAACCTAATGAAAATGTGAGGAAAATAAATAACATTAATATTTAAATATATTCAACTAACAATTATCTGTGGTAAAATAAGAATTTTTAAATTTTTTTTAAAAGACTGATTGATTTTGTTTGCAGCTGCAGTAGGCAATTCATCAGCAATGAAAAATAACGCTAATGAAGTATTTAACAAATAAGGAACTTCATAATGCAATACATGAATGGGTATGTCAAATTCAAAGCTATATAATCACTTCTAGGAAAAAGAAATTTTTTATTGCCTCAGTTTACAAGGAGAGCTTGTTGCTTACTTAAAGTAGCTAAGCAAATTTAAGCAGTGCCATGATATTGGCGTGGTACAACTACATGACAGTGACCAAAAACTGGAGATAATTTAAAAACTAACTTTGAGGAATTTATTTCTACTGAAAATTGTTATTCACCAAAACAGATTTTACGATATGAATGAATCTGGACTTAATTAGAAATGCTTAATATATCATTCATTTGCTTTTGAATCTGATTGCAATACAGCATGACACAATTCTAGCAAAGAAAAAATAACTAGTGTAAATCCCCAGTTTCTCGCAAACCTTAAGGAAACTCTAAAATGTTTTTGACTAGTTTGCAATCATGCCGGTATTAGATTTAACAAATTCGATTATTTTAAGTGAGTAAATATCTCTAATTTCAAAATATATATGTTAAACATTGTCTTTCATTTAATTTTTTATAATAAAATGTAAAAATATTTCCATGTGCCAGTTTTTCAGCATCTCATTCCCAATTTTCAGAATCCGATAGTATCAGTTTCTGGCAGTCTTCAGAATGACTTCAATAACATTGTGAAGAAATATTTACTATATTGGTAGGTGGGTAGAAAGACAAAATCAAGCATGATTAGGAAATGTACCGATTTCGAAATAGAAAAGTGTACGGGGTTGCATCCTTCGTTGTTTTCATTCAGAACGTTTCAAATATTTTCTAAAAATATATTCATAAAAAAGATATAAATATAGGTCAAAGGTTTTTCATCCATTATTTTAAATAAATGGTCAGAATCTGTAATGAAAAATACTTTATAAAAGTTGTTATACGAGCTTAAAGCTTGCAGTTATCGATTCTTCGGAATTTCATTTATCCACACAGACACTTCATTTATTGTTCCTTATATGATTGGAAGAGACACAGATACTTAAGGAGGAAGTGCAATTAATACATATTTTGTTTGCGGTATAAATCAGTGATATAAGATATGAGACTGTTAAACCCTTCAATGTAAAGAATGACAAGCATGTCATATCATTTTCATCCAGGAAAGGAATGAAAATTTGACTTTACATTAAAAAATGTTTTTAAATCTCAACCAGCCTATTTCGAATGACTAATACTCCAATTTCAGGGAAATAACAATTTCTATCGAAGAAAAAAAAAAAATAGATATAAATTAGCAATGAATCAAAAGCAGGAAAAAAGGTAAATAAGAAAGTATATATATACTAGCTGATGTACCCTTCGTTGACGGATGTATAGTTAAAATTTGAGAATCTTTTTTTGAAATAGATTTTGTCTTATGGGGGGGAGGGTCTAAATTTAATTTCATAAAATTGGGTGAAGGAGGTTTTGAATTTTTTTATGGGGGACTTATGGACGTCAAAGTTTTGTAACGTCATAATAAAAACTTTGTTATTCAGCAATTTGTTTAGGTGTCACACAACTAAACAGACCACCATCGATCCATTAAAATTTATTAACTGTTTAATTTTTATTTATGATGAAGCGAGGAGATTGTGGAGTCGACTGAAATAATCAAAAAGAGTTGCAGTATCTCCATTTCTTTAAATTCTGCTGAGTTTAACTTAATTTAACTTTAAAATTTTAATTTTAATTTAACTCGCCGGCAAAATAATATTGGACATTGAGTCACCTACATCCGTGTAAAATTAGAACTTGATCTGAATATTGTGGCAGGGGGGGGGGGTGAAATTTTTGGGAGTTTTATTTTTCCGATTTCCGGATAATCCGTTTGGTTAGTTGTAAAAATGTATACTACAACAATTGCTAGGCTCGGGAAGTTGAATCGAATGACACCTTAAATGGGAAGATCAGACAAAGTTTAAGAGTGTTTTTTAAGCGATAACGGGTTACAGATGTTCGAGATTTCGGATTTTTCCCATTGAGTAGTCATAATTTTTCCATCAGTTGAATAGTATTACTTTTAAAAGTGGCTCGTGGTAGAGTAGTTTGAGATGGGAATAGAAGTAAGTAACTGCCTAACTGGGAACTCTAGACAAATTACTCAAGAATTCATAACTTTGATTCTACTTAATATTTTGTTTTCATTTAAAGCCTTGTTTTAAGTCAAGCAAACCTAAATATAATGTCAAAATTTCAAAAGTCTACCATTAGCCATTGCTGAGCTTACCTTAGACAAAATTTCGTTGGACAATGCGGGCATACAGACAAAATTTTTTTTAAAAGTGGATTTGGTATCTTTAATAAATGAAACTGAAAGATATCACGAAATGTGTTGATTCTATTCAATGTACAGACAAAACCTTGATTTTATTTATATGGATATATATAAATCAAGTATCAAAAACCAGCTCTCTTTGTTGTTTCGTGATTTACTTTATACATACTGTTTGTATCCTTATAATTCTCCGTTTTCAGATACTGTAAGAAGCTTGTTTCAACTCTGTTCGGGATAGCGAAGAATATCAAAATTGCTTTCTTCTTTTAAATATGCTTTGTTACCATAGATGTAGAACTTACATTTTATATATTGGCACTGATAGTGGTGATGGCTACAAATGTCCATTTAAGTCGGAAAAATCTGGATTGCCACTTAAAATCCCTTCAGCCAAGATTCACCAGGTCCTCCACCTGTGAAAGAAATTTTTTATCTTTCGAAGCTTTTAAAAGCTCCTTTGTACTTTCCACCAGATATAGTCTTCCTTTCTGAAACCTACTGTTCTTCTGTTTCTAGTTTTGTGAAATGATTTCCCACTCAATATTAAAGTGTTTTTTAGGAATACTATGAATCTTGCTAGCACTATTATGCTCAAAGACTACTTCTGATGAGTTTTATAACTTATTACACATATTTTTCAGTGTAGGTCTTTTTATATTTTTCGATATATTAACGATATATTTAATTCGATATATTAATGTTTTTTTCTCCATAATGTTAGTTTTTTTTAAATTTTTTGTTGTTGTTTCATCATTCTGAATTCATCTTTCAAATAAAACTTGTTTTTTTACTTTGGAAGTAGATATACATATAATAATATACATTCTCTGTCTAAAAAATCCTCTTACAATAAAAGTGAAAAAAAGAAACAAATATATTTATTAAAATTGATGAAAGAATACTATTAGTTTTTGATTAGCCTAAACCAAGATATCCTGGTAGGCAACTACAGCTAGAAGTGCCCAAAATTGAATGTTTTAAGGGATTCATGTTTCAAAAGAGCCTCTTTCGACAGTTCTAGACCATTCCAGAAGCTTAATATTCTTTAATAACTGTCAATGGGTGCTGGAAACTGGAAGAAGTTGATTGGGGGCTTAATATACAGTTGTTGCAATATGACACATCAACACAAGCTAAAATAACCAGTTTTCAGAGAAGTATAAGAACTTTAGTCATTTAGAAACAACAGAACGGGAAATATATCTGTACATTATTATAACTAAACAAGAGCATGGATAAATAAAATTATTGTACAAGATCGGTATAAAAAGCACTTCATTCCTTAGGAATGAGAGTGTCTCAGAATGAAAAACTTGTCATTAAAACAGTTACTGGTCATTGATAATGCTGTATGTCACCCTGCGAAATTTTAAAATCAGCTGATGGAAAACCATTGCTAAGTATTTACAACCAAATGAGACTGCTCTCACTAAACCCAAGGATCAAGGTCTAATAGTGGCAACAGATGATAAAGTTAATAATAAATCAGGAAAGGATAAATCCACCATCGAACAAAGATTAATTCATGAAGTGGCACTGGAGCATGTGAGCAGCCTCCTTCATTATTTATAACAAGAGGGTAATGTGTTACTGACTGACAAACTTGTTCTATGCAAAGTTCAACTACAAATCAAAAGAAAGTGTTTTCTAACAAAAAAAATAAAAATAAGTGATTATTTTAAAAATTGTAATTTTTGTATCTATTCTTTGGCGGGATTGCTTATTATGGAAATACAATCAGATTAAACATTGCGCATTCCTTTATCCAGCTTTTATAATTTATTTCCTCGAAATAAGCGTTCATTCTATGTTCTTAGAGGGGCTTTTAACTAAAGTTCTGCGGGATTCAAGATTACACTAGCGCGTTTTTCAACTTTTAGGATTTCATCGATATTAGAATCCATTATGTTGTCGGGGACGCTTTTTTAAAAAAATGTTATTTTTTTATTATTTAAATATAAATAAAATAAATAAATAAATATTATTTCATCATAAAAATATTTTATAACTCATATATCATATATCAGGTTGCCGGGCAACAGTGGTGCTGTGCACACGCGTTAGCCCATTCGGCTTCCCCGCCCACACAAATGCCTACCAGTTAAAGAGTTGGGTCTCTGGTGCGGATGGGATATATACCTTCCCGGTAGTGAGATGAATCAATGGTGCGACCGGAATATATACCTTTCTGTCCAGGCGGTTGCCACTTAAACAGGTAAGGGCGAGTCCAGCCTTCACCATTTGACTTATGGCTTGGTCAGTGCATTCATTTAGTCCCCTGTAGCTGATTTAAAGCGGTCGTTCCGGATTCTGACCATTTCAAAGCTATCAGTTGCAGATTTATTCTGAACTCTAGGTATGTCCTTTCTCTGTTATTTGTGTCATATCCATGATCTTATTTATGTTCTATTTAAATGTTTTATACATCAAATAAATGTTAATAAGTTAATTTTAGAATTTTTTTTTTAATTTTGGTTTTGACTAAATGCTGATTTTGGTACATATGAATTTATGTCTACAAAACAAATAAATTTGAGTTTTCTA